GTGAAGCTCACACGCTCCCGACATGGACAGGCAAAATCCATACCCTTCACTGCCTACTGGCAAATGTCTCTCCCCTTCCTCTTCTTAGTTTTCACCATGTGTAAACTTTGGTAGAAAGTTCTGGTTGTTCATCCACGTCTTGACTGGTCTTATTCCAGAACTTGCATTTTGTTTGTACATTTGTTGTACCAAGCTGGCTTATTTGTATGCAGACTGTCGGTTCCTCGTCTCTTAGACAGATGTAGTCTGACTTAGATGGAAACGCCCCTAATGATTACAATTTTATTACATGCTTTGGGGGAGGGGGTGGCAATGGGCCTATTCTTTTCCCCCACAAACTAAGGCCCCGGAACCCACTTGGAGTGGGTAACACTAAAGTAGTATCTGTCCCCCTCCACCACCAACAGGTTTTGTTGTCTGTAGTATCTGTCCCCCTCCACCACCAACAGGTTTTGTTGTCTGTAGTATCTGTACACCTTCACCACCAACAGGTTTTGTTGTTTGTAGTATCTGTCCACCTCCACCACCAACAGGTTTTGTTGTCTGTAGTATCTGTACACCTCCACCACCAACAGGTTTTGTTGTCTGTAGTATCTGTCCACCTCCACCACCAACAGGTTTTGTTGTCTGTAGTATCTGTACACCTCCACCACCAACAGGTTTTGTTGTCTGTAGTATCTGTCCACCTCCACCACCAACAGGTTTTGTTGTCTGTAGTATCTGTTCACCTCCACCACCAACAGGTTTTGTTGTCTGTAGTATCTGTCCCCCTCCACCACCAACAGGTTTTGTTGTCTGTAGTATCTGTCCCCCTCCACCACCAACAGGTTTCGTTGTCTGTAGTATCTGTCCCCCTCCACCACCAACAGGTTTTGTTGTCTGTAGTATCTGTACACCTTCACCACCAACAGGTTTTGTTGTTTGTAGTATCTGTCCACCTCCACCACCAACAGGTTTTGTTGTCTGTAGTATCTGTACACCTCCACCACCAACAGGTTTTGTTGTCTGTAGTATCTGTCCACCTCCACCACCAACAGGTTTTGTTGTCTGTAGTATCTGTACACCTCCACCACCAACAGGTTTTGTTGTCTGTAGTATCTGTCCACCTCCACCACCAACAGGTTTTGTTGTCTGTAGTATCTGTCCCCCTCCACCACCAACAGGTTTTGTTGTCTGTAGTATCTGTTCACCTCCACCACCAACAGGTTTTGTTGTCTGTAGTATCTGTCCCCCTCCACCACCAACAGGTTTTGTTGACTGTAGTATCTGTCCCCCTCCACCACCAACAGGTTTTGTTGTCTGTAGTATCTGTACACCTCCACCACCAACAGGTTTTGTTGTCTGTAGTATCTGTCCACCTCCACCACCAACAGGTTTTGTTGTCTGTAGTATCTGTCCCCCTCCACCACCAACAGGTTTTGTTGTCTGTAGTATCTGTTCACCTCCACCACCAACAGGTTTTGTTGTCTGTAGTATCTGTCCCCCTCCACCACCAACAGGTTTTGTTGACTTTAGTATCTGTCCCCCTCCACCACCAACAGGTTTTGTTGTTTGTAGTATCTGTCCCCCTCCACCACCAAAAGGTTTTGTTGTCTGTAGTATCTGTCCACCTCCACCACCAACAGGTTTTGTTGTCTGTAGTATCTGTACACCTCCACCACCAACAGGTTTTGTTGTCTGTAGTATCTGTCCACCTCCACCACCAACAGGTTTTGTTGTTTGTATTATCTGTCTGTCTGTCTGTCCAGTTTCATGCAGGATAGAAAGGATGTACACCGCACTGCTGCCACTGGTACCTATTCCTTACCAGATGCTATACTCTCAAAAGAACAGATTTGTTGAATAATGTCCTCAGCTTGACCCATCCAGGATTTTCCTCTCTCTTTCCTCCTACCCTACTTTTTGTGTGAATCTTGTGCAGTGGGTGAAATGTGTAGGTGCTGGTTGGAAGATCAAGAAGATAACACATCACTCTTCCATATTCCCTCTGCGTCCAAATATGATGCCCATTGCCTCATTCTGTATCCACACTAGTCTATCAGTTTACAGCTTCTTCTTCACCTCTTCCACCATTTATCCCATCGAGGTGTTGGGGGCGGATGTAAGGATCATTTGTGTGCTTTTTCCATGTCATTGTACAAGTTGGTGTTCATTTCTGTTAGGTAGCTCCTGATGTTGTCACTCTATCTCTTGTGTGGTCTTCCCCTTGCTCTGTGTTTATTACAGTGTACAGCTAACAGTCAGAATTGATGAGTGATTAGTCAACATCACACCAATTGCCTTTACTTCCCAAGACATTCCCAGCTTCATATTTTAGGCTTTGTTGATTTATGAGTCAGTGCTATGTCATTTTCTGTTGCCAACTTGCCTGGTGTGGATTCTAGACAGTGCAGTAGAACAGATATAGAATCCATGTATTGAAATAATTATTCAACAGGGTTTAGTAGGGGTTCTGGAAGTTATTCAACAGGGGAAAGTAGGGGTTCTGGAAGATATTCAACAGGGGAAAGTAGGGGTTCTGGAAGATATTCAACAGGGGAAAGTAGGGGTTCTGGAAGATATTCAACAGGGTTAAGTAGGGGTTCTGTAAGATATTCAACAGGGTTAAGTAGGGGTTCTGGAAGTTATTCAACAGGGTTAAGTAGGGGTTCTGGAAGTTATTCAACAGGGGAAAGTAGGGGTTCTGGAAGATATTTAACAGGATTAAGTAGGGGTTCTGGAAGTTATTCAACAGGGTTAAGTAGGGGTTCTGGAAGATATTAAATAGAGTTAAGTAGGGGTTCTGGAAGTTATTCAACAGGGGAAAGTAGGGGTTCTGGAAGATATTCAACAGGGGAAAGTAGGGGTTCTGGAAGATATTCAACAGAGTTAAGTAGGGGTTCTGGAAGATATTCAACAGAGTTAAGTAGGAGTTCTGGAAGATATTCAACAGAGTTAAGTAGGAGTTCTGGAAGATATTCAATAGAGTTAAGTAGGGGTTCTGGAAGATATTCAACAGGGTTAAGTAGGGGTTCTGGAAGATATTCAACTGGGGTAAGTAGGGGTTCTGGAAGATATTCAACAGAGTTAAGTAGGAGTTCTGGAAGATATTCAATAGAGTTAAGTAGGGGTTCTGGAAGATATTCAACAGGGTTAAGTAGGGGTTCTGGAAGATATTCAACTGGGGAAAGTAGGGGTTCTGGAAGATATTCAACAGGGGAAAGTAGGGGTTCTGGAAGATATTCAACACTGAGGGGAAAGTAGGAGTTCTGGAAGATATTCAACAGGTGAAAGTAGGGGTTCTGGAAGTTATTCAACACTGAGGGGAAAGTAGGAGTTCTGGAAGATATTCAACAGGGGAAAGTAGGGGTTCTGGAAGATATTCAACAGGGTTAAGTAAGGGTTCTGGAAGATATTCAACAGGGTTAAGTAGGGGTTCTGGAAGATATTCAACAGGGGAAAGTAGGGGTTCTGGAAGATATTCAACAGGGGCAAGTAGGGGTTCTGGAAGATATTCAACATGGAAAAGTAGGGGTTCTGGAAGATATTCAACAGGGTTAAGTAGGGGTTCTGGAAGATATTCAATAGAGTTAAGTAGGGGTTCTGGAAGATATTCAACAGGGGAAAGTAGGGGTTCTGGAAGATATTCAACAGAATTAAGTAGGGGTTCTGGAAGATATTCAATAGAGTTAAGTAGGGGTTCTGGAGGATATTCAACAGGGGAAAGTAGGGGTTCTGGAAGATATTCAACAGGGGAAAGTAGGGGTTCTGGAAGATATTTAATAGAGTTAAGTAGGGGTTCTGGAGGATATTCAACAGGGGAAAGTAGGAGTTCTGGAAGATATTCAACAGGGGAAAGTAGGGGTTCTGGAAGATATTCAACAGGGTTAAGTAGGGGTTCTGGAAGTTATTCAACAGGGGAAAGTAGGGGTTCTGGAAGTTATTCAACAGGGGAAAGTAGGAGTTCTGGAAGATATTCAATAGAGTTAAGTAGGGGTTCTGGAGGATATTCAACAGGGGAAAGTAGGGGTTCTGGAAGATATTCAACAGGGGAAAGTAGGGGTTCTGGAAGATATTCAATAGAGTTAAGTAGGGGTTCTGGAGGATATTCAACAGGGGAAAGTAGGAGTTCTGGAAGATATTCAACAGGGGAAAGTAGGGGTTCTGGAAGATATTCAACAGGGTTAAGTAGGGGTTCTGGAAGTTATTCAACAGGGGAAAGTAGGGGTTCTAGAAGTTATTCAACAGGGGAAAGTAGGAGTTCTGGAAGATATTCAACAGGGTTAAGTAGGGGTTCTGGAAGTTATTCAACAGGGGAAAGTAGGGGTTCTGGAAGTTATTCAACAGGGTTAAGTAGGGGTTCTGGAAGTTATTCAACAGGGGAAAGTAGGAGTTCTGGAAGATATTCAACAGGGTTAAGTAGGGGTTCTGGAAGATATTTAACAGGGGAAAGTAGGGGTTCTGGAAGATATTCAACAGGGGAAAGTAGGGGTTCTTAAAGTTACTCAACAAGGTTAAGTAGGGGTTCTGGAAGATATTCAACAGGGGAAAGTAGGGGTTCTGGAAAATATTCAACAGGGTTAAGTAGAGGTTCTGGAAGATATTCAACAGGGTTAAGTAGGGGTTCTGGAAGTTATTCAACAGGGGAAAGTAGAGGTTCTGGAAGGTATTCAACAAGGGAAGGTAGGGGTTCTGGAAGATATTCAACAGGGGAAAGTAGGGGTTCTGGAAGATATTCAACAGGGAAAAGTAGGGGTTCTGGAAGGTATTCAACACTGAGGGGAAAGTAGGAGTTGTTTCGAACACTGACCAAGGGCTGCAGCAAGCTGCAGCTGGATTTGAAGGCGAGCCTCTTATCAACTGCGCTAACGTGGTCCTATCAGGTTGCAACTGGTACTATTAGCATATTGACTTTTTGTTGACTACTGAAGAAGGGGACGCAGCATGTGTGGGAATGTCCCGAGTGCAGTGATGTCATTCATTCATCATAAAACCATTCTATGCCTTTGTGTGTTTTTTAGGAAGAAGTATACCAGGGCTAAGTACACAGATGAACACGATTTTTCAATAGAGGTTTGTACTTCGTGAAATTGTTACACCTTTGAGTCTTTCTTAACATGTTTCTTTTTCTCACCAGAAGTTACATTCCTTATCAGAATTTGTTACTGATTGATTTTATTTATTCTTGTATCCACTACTTGTCTTCCAGGTTAGTATTATTATTTAGTGTATACAATCAATTAATTAGTACATTATCTAGTGTATACAATCAATTATTAGTACATTATCTAGTGTATACAGTCAATTAATTAGTACATTATCTAGTGTATACAGTCAATTAATTAGTACATTGTCTAGTGTATACAATCAATTATTAGTACATTATCTAGTGTATACAGTCAATTAATTAGTACATTATCTAGTGTATACAGTCAATTAATTAGTACATTGTCTAGTGTATACAGTCAATTAATTAGTACATTATCTAGTGCATACAGTCAATTAATTAGTACATTATCTAGTGAATACAGTCAATTAATTAGTACATTATCTAGTGTATACAGTCAATTAATTAGTACATTATCTAGTGTATACAGTCAATTAATTAGTACATTATCTAGTGTATATAGTCAATTAATTAGTACATTATCTAGTGTATACAGTCAATTAATTAGTACATTATCTAGTGTATACAGTCAATTAATTAGTACATTATCTAGTGTATACAGTCAATTAATTAGTACATTATCTAGTGTATACAGTCAATTAATTAGTACATTATCTAGTGTATACAGTCAATTAATTAGTACATTATCTAGTGTATATAGTCAATTAATTAGTACATTATCTAGTGTATATAGTCAATTAATTAGTACATTATCTAGTGTATATAGTCAATTAATTAGTACATTATCTAGTGTATACAGTCAATTAATTAGTACATTATCTAGTGTATACAGTCAATTAATTAGTACATTATCTAGTGTATACAGTCAATTAATTAGTACATTATCTAGTGTATACAGTCAATTAATTAGTACATTATCTAGTGTATATAGTCAATTAATTAGTACATTATCTAGTTATACAGTCAATTAATTAGTACATTATCTAGTGTATACAGTCAATTAATTAGTACATTATCTAGTGTATACAGTCAATTAATTAGTACATTATCTAGTGTATACAGTCAATTAATTAGTACATTATCTAGTGTATACAGTCAATTAATTAGTACATTATCTAGTGTATATAGTCAATTAATTAGTACATTATCTAGTTATACAGTCAATTAATTAGTACATTATCTAGTGTATATAGTCAATTAATTAGTACATTATCTAGTGTATACAGTCAATTAATTAGTACATTATCTAGTGTATACAGTCAATTAATTAGTACATTATCTAGTGTATACAGTCAATTAATTAGTACATTATCTAGTGTATACAGTCAATTAATTATTACATTATCTAGTGTATACAGTCAATTAATTAGTACATTATCTAGTGTATACAGTCAATTAATTAGTACATTATCTAGTGTATACAGTCAATTAATAAATACATTATCTAGTGTATACAGTCAAATAATTAATACATTATCTAGTGTATACAGTCAAATAATTAATACATTATCTAGTGTATACAGTCAAATAATTAATACATTATCTAGTGTATACAGTCAATTAATTAGTACATTATCTAGTGTATACAATCAATTAATTAGTACATTATCTAGTTATACAGTCAATTAATTAGTACATTATCTAGTGTATACAGTCAAATAATTAATACATTATCTAGTGTATACAGTCAAATAATTAGTACATTATCTAGTGTATACAGTCAATTAATTAGTACATTATCTAGTGTATACAGTCAAATAATTAATACATTATCTAGTGTATACAGTTAAATAATTAATACATTATCTAGTGTATACAGTCAAATAATTAATATATTATCTAGTGTATATAGTCAAATAATTAATATATTATCTAGTGTATATAGTCAAATAATTAATATATTATCTAGTGTATATAGTCAAATAATTAGTACATTATCTTGTGTATACAGTCAATTAATTAGTACATTATCTAGTGTATACAGTCAATTAATTAGTACATTATCTAGTGTATACAATCAATTAATTAGTACATTATCTAGTGTATACAATCAATTAATTAGTACATTTTCTAGTATATACAGTCAAATAATTAATATATTATCTAGTGTATATAGTCAATTAATTAGTACATTATCTAGTGTATACAGTCAATTAATTAGTACATTATCTAGTGTATACAGTTAAATAATAATATATTATCTAGTGTATTCTATTAATTAATTAGTATAATATGTCTTTTAGTCAACATTTCCTATTGATATTTATATTATTTTTGTTAAGTTTATTTCATCTTTTATCTTCATGTGTTAAAATCCTTCTGTGTGTACTTGGTTCTGTGAATCAGTTTTATCTCAGTTATCTTTGAAGAATTTTTTGTAATATTTTAGTCTGCAATGTGAATGTGCCAGTGATAGTTTGGTCTGTGATGTGAATGTGCCAGTGATAGTTTGGTCTGTAATGTGAATGTGCCAGTGATAGTTTGGTCTGTGATGTGAATGTGCCAGTGATAGTTTGGTCTGTGATGTGGGGCCCACTTCTAATATTCGAGCAGGATTTCAAAGTTAGTTGCATTCTGGCTCATATAGTATTTGGTGCACTACAGATCTGATTAGCATCTGGTCATGTAGTTAGTAAAGCAGTTTTGTAAAACATGGCCTGGATGCCAAGAAGCTCAACCATTTGCACAGTCTGCCTGAGAGAGCTGCTGAACATCAAATGGCAAGACAGGGTTGTGGATAGTGTCATACTGGATAGTGCTGGCCTTGCCAGTATCGATACCATCCTGATGCAGTCACAGATTTGTTGGGCGGGTCACCTTATCCACATGCCAGACTATCAGCACCAACAACAAAATCTGTTATGATGAGATCAAAGAAGTCAGACACTCTCATGGTGGCTAGAAAAAATGCTTCAAGGTCATGCTAAAGGTATCGCTCAGTATAAACACTGACACGTAGGAGGCTGGTGCGCAATATGTGACCAGTGTCTGAAGCAACTTGTGAGGCATCTAGGAGAAGGTATTGCGAGTGTCTGAAGCAACTTGTGAGGCATCTAGGAGAAGGTATTGCGAGTGTCTGAAGCAACTTGTGAGGCATCTAGGAGAAGGTATTGCGAGTGTCTGAAGCAACTTGTGAGGCATCTAGGAGAAGGTATTGCGAGTGTCTGAAGCAACTTGTGAGGCATCTAGGAGAAGGTATTGTGAGTGTCTAAAGCAACTTGTGAGGCATCTAGGAGAAGGTATTGCGAGTGTCTGAAGCAACTTGTGAGGCATCTAGGAAAAGGTATTGCGAGTGTCTGAAGCAACTTGTGAGGCATCTAGGAGAAGGTATTGCCAGTGTCTGAAGCAACTTGTGAGGCATCTAGGAGAAGGTATTGTGAGTGTCTGAAGCAACTTGTGAGGCATCTAGGAGAAGGTATTGCGAGTGTCTGAAGCAACTTGTGAGGCATCTAGGAAAAGGTATTGCGAGTGTCTGAAGCAACTTGTGAGGCATCTAGGAAAAGGTATTGCGAGTGTCTGAAGCAACTTGTGAGGCATCTAGCAGAAGGTATTGCCAGTGTCTGAAGCAACTTGTGAGGCATCTAGGACAAGGTATTGTGAGTGTCTGAAGCAGCTTGTGAGGCATCTAGGAGAAGGTATTGCCAGTGTCTGAAGCAACTTGTGAGGCATCTAGGAAAAGGTATTGCAAGTGTCTGAAGCAACTTGTGAGGCATCTAGGAAAAGGTATTGCGAGTGTCTGAAGCAACTTGTGAGGCATCTAGGAGAAGGTATTGTGAGTGTCTGAAGCAACTTGTGAGGCATCTAGGAGAAGGTATTGTGAGTGTCTGAAGCAACTTGTGAGGCATCTAGGAGAAGGTATTGCGAGTGTCTGAAGCAACTTGTGAGGCATCTAGGAGAAAGTATTGCGAGTGTCTGAAGCAATTTGTGAGGCATCTAGGAGAAGGTATTGTGAGTGTCTGAAGCAACTTGTGAGGCATCTAGGAGAAGGTATTGCGAGTGTCTGAAGCAACGTGAGGCATCTAGGAGAAGGTATTGCGAGTGTCTGAAGCAACTTGTGAGGCATTTAGGAAAAGGTATTGCGAGTGTCTGAAGCAACTTGTGAGGCATCTAGGAGAAGGTATTGTGAGTGTCTGAAGCAACTTGTGAGGCATCTAGGAGAAGGTATTGCGAGTGTCTGAAGCAACTTGTGAGGCATCTAGGAGAAGGTATTGTGAGTGTCTGAAGCAACTTGTGAGGCATCTAGGAGAAGGTATTGTGAGTGTCTGAAGCAACTTGTGAGGAATCTAGGAGAAGGTATTGCGAGTGTCTGAAGCAACTTGTGAGGCATCTAGGAGAAGGTATTGTGAGTGTCTGAAGCAACTTGTGAGGCATCTAGGAGAAGGTATTGTGAGTGTCTGAAGCAACTTGTGAGGCATCTAGGAGAAGGTATTGTGAGTGTCTGAAGCAACTTGTGAGGCATCTAGGAGAAGGTATTGCGAGTGTCTGAAGCAACTTATGAGGCATCTAGGAGAAGGTAGGTAGGTAGTTGTACCCCACCAGAACATCACACAAGTGAAAAACACCCGATGACACAAGGTGCCACCATGCGGATGAGGATCACCCATGGAAAGGTCCTAGAAACCCCTTTCAGCCTTTAGGGCATATCTATGGCTAGGCTAAATTCAGGGCCCCCAGCAAAAGCCAAGGTGGGTCTTCACAATAACCAAAACAATTGCATCCCACAAGGAGAGGATTTTATATTCTAGGAAAAGGGGGGCAGCTGAACAGCAAAAACATGATAGAAAGACCTGTATAAGAGGCCTTTTATCTGAAGAGATTGTTCCCTGTCTTCATTGTCCTAAATCCTTCAGGGCCCGTATTGGTTACCTCTGGACTCATGGACAGTCAACTGTAGTTACATGACAGATGAAAGAAAGAGTGGTCAACAGCAGTATAGCAGTCTCTCAAATCTGGAGACATTGGTTCTGATCCCAGATGATGTAGAGAGACAGGTGTGGGGGTAGGGACACATGATACTGTTTATGTTGTGTCTCAGGAGTCAGTGGGTTTAACCCTCAGCCTTCAGTAAGAGGCTGCTGGATAATAGCATGATATGTTTTGGTAATAACTGTTCTCATTCTGTTTCATTGATTGTAAATGAAAGATATTTGGCATCACACACATTATTTGTTGTTTCAGAATTATTATTTGGATGATGGTGTATGTAACATTCATTTCCCCCTTACACTCTTCTTATGTTTCAACATTTTCCCATCTACAGATATATAATCTGCTTATTGCCTTGTTTGTAAGCTATGTGATCTATTTTGAAATTACTCTAGTAATTGTTTTCTTTGTCATTAAGCAGTGTATTTCTTTCTTTGATTTTCATGATGTCAGACGGAAATGTAAATTCAAAATCATGAGCAGTTAAGACAATATGTCTTTCTTTTATCATTCTTCATTACTTTATGGTGTAGAAGAAAAGAAGACGGCAGAGTAGGCATAAGTATTTTTGTTTATGTTTTTTTTTTTTCTGGGTGAAGTCTAATTTCAGCACCATACAGTAAAATATTAACTCATAAAACTGAACTGATCAGTAACTGTTTTTGAGACAGGAAAATATATCTCATCTTAATTATTTTGCAACAAGAAAGTGAAAGTCAGTAATAGTTTTAATAGAGTAACTACAGGCGTTATCAGAACAATTGTTTATGTGATAAAGTGCAATAACCATTATTATTAGTAGTTTATGTTTGAACAAATGACAGAAGGCCTCATCGAAAGTAGTTTATGTTTGAACAAGTGATTGAACAAGTGACAGAAGGCCTCATTGAAAGTAGTTTATGTTTGAACGAGTGACAGAAGGTCTCATCGAAAGTAGTTTATGTTTGAACAAGTGACAGAAGCCCTTGTTATAAGTAGTTTTCGTTTGAACAAGTGACAGAAGCCCTTGTTATTAGTAGTTTATGTTTGAACAAGTGATTGAACAAGTGACAGAAGCCCTTGTTATAAGTAGTTTATGTTTTAATAGGTGACAGAAGGCCTCATCAAAAGTAGTTTATGTTTGAACAAGTGACAGAAGGCCTCATCAAAAGTAGTTTATGTTTGAACAAGTGACAGAAGCCCTTGTTATAAGTAGTTTATGTTTGAACAAGTGATTGAACAAGTGACAGAAGCCCTTGTTATAAGTAGTTTATGTTTGTACAAGTGATAGAAGCCCTTGTTATAAGTAGTTTTTGTTTGAATAAGTGACAGAAGCCCTTGTTATAAGTAGTTTATGTTTGTACAAGTGATAGAAGCCCTTGTTATAAGTAGTTTATATTTGAACAAGTGATTGAACAAGTGACAGAAGCCCTTGTTATAAGTAGTTTATGTTTGAATAAGTGACAGAAGCCCTTGTTATAAGTAGTTTTTGTTTGAATAAGTGACAGAAGCCCTTGTTATAAGTAGTTTTTGTTTGAACAAGTGACAGAAGCCCTTGTTATAAGTAGTTTTTGTTTGAACAAGTGACAGAAGCCCTTGTTATAAGTAGTTTATATTTGAACAAGTGTTTGAACAAGTGACAGAAGCCCTTGTTATGAGTAGTTTATGTTTGAACAAGTGACAGAAGCCCTTGTTATAAGTAGTTTATATTTGAACAAGTGTTTGAACAAGTGACAGAAGCCCTTGTTATAAGTAGTTTATGTTTGAACAAGTGACAGAAGCCCTTGTTATAAGTAGTTTATGTTTTAATAGGTGACAGAAGGCCTCATTGAAAGTAGTTTATGTTTGAACAAGTGACAGAAGGCCTCATCAAAAGTAGTCTATGTTTGAACAAGTGACAGAAGTCCTTGTTATAAGTAGTTTATGTTTGAACAAGTGACAGAAGACCTTGTTATAAGTAGTTTATGTTTGAACAAGTGACAGAAGGCCTCATCAAAAGTAGTTTATGTTTGAACAAGTAACAGAAGGCCTCATCAAAAGTAGTTTATGTTTGAACAAGTGACAGAAGCCCTTGTTATAAGTAGTTTTTGTTTGAACAAGTGACAGAAGCCCTTGTTATAAGTAGTTTATGTTTGAACAAGTGATTGAAAAATTCTGCCATTATGACCAATTCTGCTATTACCTAAATGGCGATATGTCCTAACGTGACCAACTCTGCTATTACCTAAATGGCGATATGTCCTAACGTGACCAACTCTGCTATTACCTAAATGGCGATATGTCCTAACGTGACCAACTCTGCTATTACCTAAATGGCGATATGTCTAAACGTGACCAACTCTGCTATTACCTCAATGGCGATATGTCTAAATGTGACCAATTCTGCCAGTACCTAAATGGCGATATGTCTAAATGTGACCTACCTGCTATTACCTCAATGGCGATATGTCTAAATGTGACCAATTCTGCCAGTACCTAAATGGCGATATGTCTAAATATGACCAATTCTGCCAGTACCTAAATAGCGATATGTCTAAATGTGACCAATTCTGCTATTACCTAAATGGCGATATGTCTAAATGTGACCAATTCTGCCATTACCTAAATGGCGATATATCTAAATGTGACCAATTCTGTCATTACCTCAATGGTGATGTGTCTAAACGTGACCAATTCTGCCATTACCTAAATGGCGATATGTCTAAACGTGACCTACCTGCTATTACCTAAATGGCAATATGTCTAAATGTGACCAATTCTGCCATTACCTAAATGGCGATATGTCTAAATGTGACCTACCTGCTATTACCTAAATGGTGATATGTCTAAATGTGACCAATTCTGCCATTACCTCAATGGCGATATGTCTAAATGTGACCTACCTGCTATTACCTAAATGGCGATATGTCTAAATGTGACCAATTCTGCTATTACCTAAATGGCTATATGTCTAAATGTGACAAATTCTGCCATTACCTCAATGGCGATATGTCTAAATGTGACCAATTCTGCTATTACCTAAATGGCGATATGTCTAAATGTGACCAATTCTGCTATTACCTAAATGGTGATATGTCTAAACGAGACCAATTTATGCTGTTAACTTAATGGCGATATATCTGCGATGTAGTGGAAAATTGGATTTCAAGATTCTAACTTTTTGAGATAAGAGCTATAGTCAGGAATGAATCAAGTTCAGTAGTTGAGATAGCACTGTATACCCAAGCAGAATTGTGTTAGTGGGCATTTGTGTTGTGTTTTCTTCCTAGTGTTTGGTGATCAACTGTCCTAATTAGGGCTGTACCGAATAGTGATTTTCACTATTCGGCCGAATACGAATAACGAGACCAACTATTTGGCCGAATACGAATACTGTATAGTGTATAAAATATATCTTTAAAAAAAACACATTCATAATGTCAAATGTACGCTGAACTTTTACTTCACATAAAGTAGCACATAATAGTCGTCTTCTTCCTTAGAATTCTGAGCCCTTGAGGTTTACTGCTGCAGATATCACTCTCTCCATTCATCTCTCTGTCTGGCCTACTCTATACAATTTGTGACACCAGTTGTTTGCAGGTCTGGCTGGACATTATCTCTCAAACTTTTTTTGTGTGTGTCTGCCTCGCCATCTACGTCCATTCCTCTCTCAGGCGTATACAGTTTTACTTCTCTGTCATCTGACATTCTTTCAATATGCCCCAACCATTTTAGTCTGTTAGCTCTCATGATGCCAGTGATCAATGGTGATTTAGACAGATTATGTGTTACGTTGTTGCTTCTCACTCTCTATTCCCCGCTGTTAGCATCTTTGATGGGTCCAAAGATTTGTTGTAAGACTGTTTTCGAAAACCTGTAATAAGGCCCTATCTCTTTTATTTCTGCTTCAAGTTCAGAGCCATATAAAACGACTAGTCTTTTCAATGTTTTATATATTTTGATCTTGGTGGCTTGAATTTAAAGAAAACAAAAATAATGTCCACAGATAAAACTGGCTGTCACCCAAAAATAACAATAAATGATGAAGAAATTGAAAATGTCACAAACTTTGAATATCTGGGCTCTATAATAAACAACAATGGAGACTGTTCGACAGAAATTAAAAGTAGGATGGCCATAGCAATGCAAAGATTGAACAGCCTTAAAAGTCTATGGTTAAGCACCAACAAGGAGATCAAAATTAGAATTTTGAGAGCATGCATCTTCCCTGTGGCTACATACGGATGTGAGTCATGGAATATCTCTCAGTCCTTGAGAAAGAGAATAGGGGCTTTTGAGCTGAAATGTTATAGAAAGATTCTCAGAATATCTTGGATAAAGAAGAGGAGAAATATTGACATCTTAAAAGATGTGAACATCAATAAAGATTGGCTAATAAACAGCATCCTTTCTCGAAAGCTGAAATATTTTGGTCAAAAAATTATAGCAGAAGGCATGGTACCAGAGACCGAGTTTTTTTCAGGCAGACTGTGATGAGAGCGACTTTCTGCAAAGGACCTGCTACATGATGATGATGATGTTGCGAGACAGACACCTTGACTTTAGCAGATGTTGAAGGGCATAGTATTACTAATTTCTAGATTGTATTCTAGATTTTATTTCTTTTCTCAGCTTGTTGGAGCAGTTGAAGTTTGCACCCAAGTACTTATATGATTCCGTTCGTTTGATTTTCATATTATCGACTTGAATGTGGCCGGAGTTTATATTCTTTCCATGTCTAGTTAGTATTCATACAGTATAGTAAGCATTTAAAAACATTTTATGTTTTGCATCCTTCAGTCAGTTTGTGGTAACTAATAACTAGGAATGAAAGAATCCTAAGTAATATAACAAGTAACTTAACTTGGAAATTGTCACTGACAGCTTAGTTAATTCATGAAAGCTGCATTAGCTTTCAACAAAACCAATCGTTCCATGTTGTAAGTTTTAAGGCCGTGTATGCAGAAGCGGGTGTAAGGTAACTACTATTCCTATTCGGCCCGACCGCAACGATTCGGCCGAATACCGAATAGTCAATAGGTCCACTATTCGGCCCCGAAGCGAATACGAAGCGAATATTCGGTACAGCCCTAGTCCTAATATGTATGTTTGCTTATGACTTGTTCATGAAAGTATATTTTATGCTTATAATGCCAAGCTACATATTACTGATATGTGTGTGCTGTAATTTCTGTGATTGCTGGAGCTTGCAGATTTTAAATACATTGTCAAGATGCTTTGTGAATTAATTTAACGAAAAGGGTTTAGCTAGTAAATGAAATTGTAAATGCTTACACACAGTTGTTGGCTTGAGACCGCTGTTCTTTCCCAGTTATAGTTTTATCATTTTGCTCATGTGTCAGTATTAAACAAAAAGTATTTAAATAGAACCCCCCCCCCCCCCCCCCCCCCAACCCCCCTCCATAAATGTATACTTTATAAAGTTTTTTTTTTGTTATTGTGAGAAAGTTAATGAAAAAGTATACAGTTAATATTCAGTCCATGTGAATACATAATATTCCAGTCCATGTGAATATATGTTTGTTGATTTACATGAGCTATTATATAAAAGTGATCTGTTCAAGTGTAAATGTTCAGTTAGATCAGAAGGTGCACGTATTACAAATGAGTTGAGTTGTATGGGTGTAATTAACAATCTGTTTGATTAATTATACAAGATATGATTGTTCTGTTTGTATGATGAGTTGCAAATAGATGTTGCAGTCTCTCCCATAAGTTTGAAGTGTTTTACAAAAAGTTGCAGCTGTTTTGTCAGTGTGACACATTTCCTAAGAAGTTATAACCAGTGCAGCCGATGAGTTAAATTTGCACAGTAAGTTGTACTTTTAGTTGGATTTCACAGGGTCTAAGCATGAAGCATTGAGAATGTTTAGATTTGAACAATTTGTTGAGCGTCATAAGTCAGTTTCTGAATCGTTGCCTAGTCTAGTTATATTATGCCTGGAAGGAGACATAGAAACAAAAGTTGGCAGTTTAAAAACCACTGGTTAAACTGGTAAGAGTTGAGAAGTGGGCAGAGTTTTGTCAAAGAAAAAAACCAAGTCAAGTCACTGATGTTTTCTTGTGACTACATAAAAGTGTGAACAGTGTAGTCAAAAACAGTATTCCTGACTTTCATGGTTGAGATTTCACCTGGCAGAGGATTGACAAAAATAAGAGCAAAGCTCTTTTGGAATACTTTTATTTATCACAACACTATACATGTTTCCACTCTGTGACACAGAATCTGTTACAAATACCAACACTATGTCATTCTTGGAATGCATCCAAATAGACAGAAAATGGAGACAACAGAATCTGCTGATGTGGAGGCAGAAGTTCCGGGCTTTGTTGAGAATTCTATAGAGGGTGATTCTGTCATTTACACAGAGTGGTCTCTTGTTGAGCAAGCAAGAAGCTCCTGTGCTTTTCTGGTCCAGGTCAGAGGCAGAATGGTGAAGGAAAAGTCTGGTGCTTGTGCATTGTCTACAGGAAATCTGAGGAAGATTTTCAGGCAGTATTCTCAGAAAGATTGAGATGGACCAGGACCAGAGAGAATGATTGGTGTCTCCCAGGCGGTCACGGTTGGTGTCTCCCAGGCAGTCACGGTTGGTGTTTCCCAGGCGGTCACGGTTGGTGTCTCCCAGGCAGTCACGGTTGGTGTCTCCCAGGCAATCACGGTTGGTGTCTCCCAGGCAGTCACGGCTGACAAATATCAGTTTCATTTTCATGGCAGGGATGTCAATCAACTAATAGACACCTTTAAACAAGTTTTCAAAACCTAGCACCAAATTCAGAGTCCGTTGTAAAGACTTTTTAAAACTAACAGATAAGGAACTTTTAGAACTATTCAATGAACGCAACAGAAGTATAAGAACTGGCACAATAAACGAAACATGGCTTCACGGTTATTTAATACATTTTCCAAAACCTGGCAAAGAACCACCTTCTAAAAGCAAGACCAAATTATCAGTATGCAAAACACCATTGGAAATCTTCTAGAAGAAATAATGGTGCAGAAAATTACTCATAAATTATAACAAACAGGTAGACTGCCATGAACACTGGGAGTATAGACTTGGAAGATGCAGACAACAAGGTTAACCTTGAAAAACTCATACATTAGCTCCTAAATATCAACGTTATCCCGCACACTCTTTAAATGAATAGCAGCAGCACTCTTCAAGAGACAGAAATCCTTGGTGGAGTGTAATCCCCCCCATCCCGTAAGGTTCGGCCGATGCTGGGCCAACTGGCATGTGAACATGTCCCAATCCCCACCAAGGTCACACCTAGGGAGCCCACCCTGAATAATCAAAGATGGAGAAGGGAAACTCTCACAACCTCTGATTTCTGGCAGGCAGTGTTTGGATGAACCAGGACACGGATAGGGAGACTCCATAACTTCAGCAAAAACTAGAAGATAACCAAGATCTAATGAATGAACTCTTCAGTCCCAAAGAATTTGAATGCGCATTAAGAAACCTTAAGAAAAAGAAGGGACCTGATCCTGATTGAATAACAATTGAAATAATAGCACACTTGGGACCAGCTTGTGGCACTAACTCTTAGATCTTATCAGTCAGTCCTGGACCCAGGGACTACCAGGTAGAAATAGTCCCCATAGCCAAGAAAGGAAAGTCCAAGGAAAACAAATTCAGTTACCACCCCATAAGCCTCCTAAGCTGCCTTGGAAGACCATGGACCATGAACAACAGGTTACCTAATATCCTAGAAGAAAACAAAATATTGGGTGACAGCCAATTAGGCTTCAGGAGATACAGAAGCACTCATGACCAAACCTCTTATCTCGCACAGGAGATTGAATAGGCTTTCCAGACCAAATACAAACTGCTAGCTACTTTCTTCGACCTGACTAAAGCCTTTGATAAGGTCTGGAAGAAAGGAGTCTTGCTAAAACTAGCACACTAGAGGCTTTCTTTACAGACGCTGTGCGAGAGTCACACTGGAAGATCACAAGAGCAAGCTGGTCAGGTTACAAGAAAGTGTCCCCCATGGAGGTGTTATATCTCCTACCCTGTTTATTCTTTTCATCAATGACCTCCCAAAACAGTTCACGACTCCCATTCACAAGGCCCTACATGTAGATGACCTTGCCATATGGACCCAAGCTGAACATATAGGAACAACTAAAACAAGAATGCAGGAAGCTATAAATACAATTAAGAAATGGGCAGACTCTTGGGAGTCACAATAAACCAGACCAAAACCGTCTGTCTCAACTCTCTTCTCTCTTTCCACAAAGCCAGAACAAGGGGATCAATACCTTGAAGGCAACATCCTTCCAAAAAAGTATAACCCCAGATATTTGGAAGTTAAATTCAACAAAAGGCTAACTTGGGGCCCCCACATTGAAGACACGCAAAGGAAAGCTACCCTGAGGCTCAGACTTATGAAGAAACTTCCTGGAACAAGCTGGGGTGCAGATTCCAACACTGTAGGACAAATATACACAGGATATGTACAACCAAAACTGAAATATGGCATGGAAGCATACTCCACTGCAGCCAAATCAAACCTACACAAACTGAATAAAATACAGAACACTGGTCTCAGAATCATCACCGGAGGAATGAGAAGCACACCTATCCGTGAGCTGGAGGCAACTTCTGGCCTCCAGAGCTTGAGCCTTCGAAGACAAGGTGCTTACCCCAACAGAAACATTTTAATGCATTAACAACAATCCCATGCATAGAATTGCAAAAAAATTAACAAAAAAATTGACTGAAAAGACAAAGCTTTCACCATCTATCAAAATTGTACTTCACGAAAACAGCGACATCCTTTCTAAAGATCCTTCAACATGGGAAATGATCCAGGCATACAGCATAGACCTACAGCCTAACTATAAAGTCACAACAACAATTCCAGGCATAGACAGAAAGGCTGAAGAATGGGACCTAGTACTGCTTGCAGAGACCCTTGAACATGTCTACAACTGTTATCCAAAACCCGAATGGGCACACGTATACACCGATGGATCATTGGAGCAGCAGGACAAACAACGGAGAAACTGGATCGGTTATCATGCTGCAAGATGGGACTACAGTAGAAATATCATGTGTCTCCTGAAGACTCTCAACAAACTTCAGAGCAGAGCAGCAAGCAATTATTGATTCGGCCAAAGTGCTTGAGGAACAAACAATTAAAAACAGCAAAATTGTTTTCCTTTGTGACTGCATGCCAGTCCTCCAGGCGACTCAGACACATAGACAGGTCTTCAATAATGCAAGTTGTTGGAGACTTGCTTCTGCATAATAATGCAGACACTTTAGGCAAACTGCAGGAACATCAGATACACGCTGGAACTGTGGCTACATGTCACTGTTTTATGTGTATCCAGCTAATCTTTTCTGCCTCCTACCTGAAGGTTTGACACCCCACTAGCCCACAGAGCTGCATCTTGTATGCCAGTCAAACAGGACAAACTCAGATACCCTGTCCTGTTTCTTGAGAAGCTTGAATTAAGTAACCAGTAACAACTACACCATGTAATACCCTGTTGTACCCTGCTGTACCCTGGTGTACCCTGCTGTACCCTGTTGTACCCTGCTTTCCTAGAGTGTTTTTAGATGGTGTAATTAACTCATCTTTAAGTCTTAGAGCTTTCAATGTGATTATTTTCACTGAATAGCTGCTGTTTGGAATGTAGTGTTAAAGTATTTAAAAGTGTTTGTATGTGCACATAAACACTTATCCATTTTAAAGTGAGATATAAACCTCGCTGAGAATGTCACTTCACCGTAAATCTAGCATTGTGATTTGAGATTTCATATGGTGATTTTCCTTTGAAGATCAGCAAATAAACATCAGCCCTATGTGCTAGGTACTGAATACATACAACTGTCTGGTAGGCCAGCACTAAACACTTCATCACTGCAGATTCATTTACAAAATAATGGTTCATGCTGTAATAATATTGCTGATATTTGTATATACATTTGGACAAACTATACTATATAAATATATATCATTTAACAATATTTATACATTATATGAATTTTATTATTAATTAACACTTTTTTAACTTTGCAGTTTGAAAATCTCATCAGTGAGGTAAGTTGCAGTTTTTACTCCTCTTTTCTACATTTTACATAATTTATTATTGTTTATTTGTATTTGTCCCCCTTGATGTTATTAGTATAGCTCACAGTGTTGTCACACACACACACAATTTACTATTCTATCAGGTATTGTTGTCAGTCTGTTACCTTAACTATGTATGCATGTGTGTGTGTATGCATGCATGCGTGCATGTGTATTTGTGTTTGTGTTTTGTCTTTTCACATGTTTCTCTGTTATAGTTGCTTAAAATTATTGTATCCAGTTTAACAAATAGTAGTAGTAGCAGCAGCAGCAGCAGTAGTGACCGTAGTAGTGGTAGTAGCAGCAGCAGCAGTAGTGACCGTAGTAGTGGTAGTAGTAGCAGCAGCAGTGGCAGCAGTAGTGACCGTAGTGGTAGTAGTAGCAGCAGCAGTGGCAGCAGTAGTGACCATAATAGAGGTGGTAGCAGCAGCAGTGGCAGCAGTAGTGACCGTAGTGGTAGTAGTAGCAGCAGCAGTGGCAGCAGTAGTGACCATAATAGAGGTGGTAGCAGCAGCAGTGGCAGCAGTAGTGACCATAGTAGTGGTAGTAGTAGCAGCAGCAGTGGCAGCAGTAGTGACCATAGTAGAGGTAGTAGCAGCAGCAGTAGTGGCTGTAGTAGTGGTAGTAGCAGCAGCAGCAGTAGTGACCGTAGTAGTGGTAGTAGTAGCAGCAGCAGTGGCAGCAGTAGTGACCGTAGTGGTAGTAGTAGCAGCAGCAGTGGCAGCAGTAGTGACCATAATAGAGGTGGTAGCAGCAGCAGTGGCAGCAGTAGTGACCATAGTAGTGGTAGTAGTAGCAGCAGCAGTGGCAGCAGTAGTGACCATAGTAGAGGTAGTAGCAGCAGCAGTAGTGGCTGTAGTAGTGGTAGTAGCAACAGCAGCAGCAGTGGCAGGTGTAGTGGCTGTAGTAGTGGTAGTAGTGGCAGCAATAGTGACCATAGTAGAGGTAGTAGCAGCAGTGGCAGCAGTAGTGACTGTAGTAGTGGTAGTAGTAGCAGCAGTGGCAGCAGTAGTGACCGTAGTAGTGGTAGTAGTAGCAGCAGTGGCAGCAGTAGTGACTGTAGTAGTGGTAGTAGTAGCAGCAGTGGCAGCAGTAGTGACTGTAGTAGTGGTAGTAGTAGCAGCAGCAGTAGTGACTGTAGTAGTGGTAGTAGTAGCAGCAGTGGCAGCAGTAGTGACCGTAGTAGTGGTAGTAGTAGCAGCAGTGGCAGCAGTAGTGACCGTAGTAGTGGTAGTAGTGGCAGCAGTGGCAGCAGTAGTGACTGTAGTAGTGGTAGTAGTAACAGCAGCAGTGGCAGCAGTAGTGACTGTAGTAGTGGTAGTAGTAGCAGCAGCAGTGGCAGCAGTAGTGACTGTAGTAGTGGTAGTAGTAGCAGCAGTAGTGACTGTAGTAGTGGTAGTAGTAGCAGCAGTGGCAGCAGTAGTGACCATAATAGAGGTACATACAAGTCCTTCCTTAATGACTCTGTTCCTCTGCCAGTGAAAATCACATTAAATGCCTCTCACTGTCCCATTAAAAAACCAGGGAGCAAACAGTTAGACCCAGCAAAATCCAGAAATATGCCCACACAGTGAATTTATGAGGCAGTTGTCAGAGGTGCAGACAGCCGCCATCAAAATCACAGTTTGCTGTTGATGGAAGTAGTCATTCATGATATGTTGGATGTGTGAGGCACTTGGCCATACCAAATTCAAACCAGCTACCAGCCCTTTTGTGAACATGACAATCCAGACCACTGTGAGCACAGAAGAAAGGCATTGCACATAAAATACACAGCACACAGTGTTGCACCAAGCACTTAGTTCAGTAGCTAATGCAATGAAACTATGGGCACCAGTCCATACATATATACTGCATGAGCAAACTGGCCAGAACTAACAAACATTTCAAGTCTTTAAAGGACCGCCTGCATGTCCACCATATTGGACGCAAAGTCCATCCAGTCTAGCCAGAATGTTGAATTAAGAATCAATATCACAGCACTCAAGACACTACCATCTGTGCACTATCCCTATCTTCAACAGCAAATGAAGAGTTTGAATTTCGATGGTACCAGTAACTGTCGGCCAGATCCCCTGGTAACTCCTCGCAGTGCCATTCTCCTCAGACCGTAATGATCTGGAGAAAATAACCAAAGGACGCTAACTTCCCAGGAACTCTCAAGCTATGCATGCCACTCTGCACAGAGCATGCTTGTCTCCACCTTTCCCAACATGCTGTGTGAGTCAGTTACAATCACAGCTGGTTATCAAGCCAGCGTAAGGAAGCAGTGACTGCCTCCACCTCCATTCTTTAACTAGACATTGTGATATCAAATGCCAGGCTTTGCTGCACTAAGCGATGTCCATTTGCTTTTCCTATAAACCCCTATGCACTTCATCTGCCTCTCAACACAGAGCCATCTGTATAGATGATCACATCACTTGGGCAGGAATTGTCATAAATCGTTTGTTGAACATCTGATTCTGCAGCACCAGCTGGCCAGTTCCTGCACTCATGGCCTAAAGTGATTAGACCCCTACACAAATGTGATTCTTGCTCGGACACATTGACCCACTCTTCTCCTCACCCAAATTTATCAAGCCTGCACACATGTCCAATTGTGTCTTCAGCTTGCGCCATCCAAGACTTTCCTCTTTTCAGTCTGTGACCCTTAGCTTTATCCAGGGCTTCACGCAGGAGGTGCCTCTTGTCCGCAGCTACTCTAAGATAGGACTTTGCCTGCAGAACTTTGAGCCTATCTGCAATAGTAGGCAGTGGAGATATATTTTGCATAGATATAGTACCTGCGTGTCTCTTGTATATCCCAGAATTACTCACACGGCTTTATTCTGTATACATTCAAGTTTCATCAGCTGACTCTTTGCTATGATAAGCATTCCAAGTCCATAATCTGTCACTGATCGGATCACATGCTGGAATATGGTGAACCCCCCAAAAAAATGTTATTTTCAAATTCCTTTGAAAATAAGATTTTAAAAAATGGCTTAACACTTTATATTTGTTCAGGAAATGATGAAAACAAAAATAGAATTTGTATTAAATCTTGCAACAAATGGAAACCTTACAAGCTGCCATGCTTGCAAAATTCAAAGAAAATTCACTCCACATCACATTTTTTAAAACATTGCTCACGTCACCCCTTAGAGATCTGTATACTCTCCTCTTTGTTACCTTTGTAACACTTCATGTTTAACAAAGGCTGCTGGCTGAAATGTTATTTGTGTTGTTTTGTGCATGTTCTTCTGTTTCCCCATTTCGTTAGGTTTTTAGTCACATTTCACTGGAATTCCGTGCAAAATTAAAAGAAAGCAGTTTTAATAAACTCACATTAGAATATTTATTTAATAAGCAGGATTCAGGTTTTTTTTAAAAAGAGTTGAGCTTAGATCCTGAATGAGGAAGGAGATACAAGGGTTTCAAAAGGGTGTTTAAAAGCAAGAACGTCAGCCTCATTGCACTGGGTTTGAAACTATATGGTCAGTCTCTATCTGTGAAACTGCTGTTTGCCTGCTAGGGGTGCAGCACAAAGCCCAGAACTTTATAGCTACAGTTACGAACTCATGGAAACACCTGCACTTGCAAATCGAGGAGTCCATGATGATTTGGTTAAAACAATTGCAGGGAGACAGCCATATGGAATCAAACTGGGCATAATGAAGATGAGTAAGATGGCGAGCTGGACAAAACACAAGGGAATTTGTTGTTGATTCGCTGAGAAATGTGTCTGGCACATTTAAGTTCAGTGCATAAGTATGTATTTTGTGAGAACAAGAAAGCATCTGGAAGAGCAGGTTAGCAAAGAACATCAGGAAAAGAGCCGGCGGGATCAGTATCAGCGGTCCGACTCAGCACGACTCCTGCTGCAGCAGTCGAAGCCCAGACCACTGTCTGAGGAAGGTAGGGTCTCTAAACATGTTCCTGCTGTTCATACATCGCTAGATATCACCCGTGGCACCTCACAGGACCCATCCTCGGAGTTTAGACCTGAAGAAACAATCTAGAAAAAAAGTATACTATGCCCTTCAACATCTGCTAAAGTCCAAGTGTCTGTCTTGCAACACCAAGATTAAAATATATAAAACTTTGATAAGACCAGTCGTTTTTCCATGGCTCTGAAACTTGGAGGACAACTAAAAGAGATAAAGCGTTATTACAGGTTTTTGAAAACAGAGACTTACAACGAATCTTTGGACCCATCAAAGATGCAACCAGCGGTGAATGCAGAGTGAGAAGCAGCAACAAAATTCATAATCTGTTGAAATCACCACTGATCACTGGCATCATGAGAGCTAAAAGACTTAAATGGTTAGGACATATTGAAAGAATGTCAGATGACAGAGAAGTAATATCTGTATACACCAGGCAGATGAATGGCACAGACCACGAGGTAGAACAAGAAGATAATGGAGAGATAATATCCAGGCAGACCTGCAAACACTAGGTGTCACCACTGGAACGAGAGGGCCAACCAGAGAAATGAATGGAGGCGGGTGATATCTGTAGCAATGAACCTCTAGGGCTCAGAATGCTGAAGAGGAAAAAGAAGATAATGAAGTTGATCTTGTCACCTTTAAACATAATTGAAGCATACAAGCCATGTTTACACTCTCTTACTAGCACTGACCTCCTGGGATCAGTCTCCAATAATGACGGTGCTGAGTGGTTTTTTTATTTTCTTGGTAAGGTGATACCAGCCTCATGAGCCAGGAGCTGGACTTATCAGTGTAATCTGTAGTGGACAGGGGACAAGAGAAGACAATGGTCACCATGTTTGATCACGTTTTGAATCAGTCTCTGTAAAGGCCTCATGATTGGCTGTGTGTGCAGCCTCATGATTGGCTGTGTGTGGCAATATCTAGCCTCATGATTGGCTGTGTGTGGCAATATCTAGCCTCATGGTTTGCTGTGTGTGGCAATATCTAGCCTCATGGTTCGCTGTGTGTGGCAATATCTAGCCTCATGATTGGCTGTGTGGGGCAATATCTAGCCTCATGATTGACTGTGTGTGGCAATATCTAGCCTCATGATTGGCTGTGTGTGGCAATATCTAGCCTCATGATTGGCTGTATGTGACAGTGTATAGCCTCATGATTGGTTGTATGTGACAGTGTATAGCCTCATGATTGGTTGTATGTGACAGTGTATAGCCTCATGATTGGCAGTGTATAGCCTCATGATTGGCTGTGTATGGCACTGTATAGCCTTATGATTGGCTGTGTGTGGCAGTGTATAGCCTCATGATTGGCTGTATGTGACAGTGTATAGCCTCATGATTGGCTGTATGTGGCAGTGTATAGCCTCATGATTGGCTGTATGTGGCAGTGTATAGCCTCATGATTGGCTGTATGTGACAGTGTATAGCCTCGTGATTGGCTGTATGTGGCAGTGTATAGCCTTATGATTGGCTGTATGTGACAGTGTATAGCCTCATGATTGGCTGTATGTGACAGTGTATAGCCTCATAATTGGTTGTATGTGACAGTGTATAGCCTCATGATTGGCAGTGTATAGCCTCATGATTGGCTGTATGTGGCAGTGTATAGCCTCATGATTGGCTGTGTGTGGCAATATCTAGCCTCATGATTCACTGTGTGTGGCAATATCTAGCCTCATGATTCACTGTGTGTGGCAATATCTAGCCTCATGATTGGCTGTGTGTGGCAATATCTAGCCTCATGATTGGCTGTATGTGACAGTGTATAGCCTCATGATTGGTTGTATGTGACAGTGTATAGCCTCATGATTGGCTGTGTGTGGCAGTGTATAGCCTCATGATTGGCTGTGTGTGGCAGTGTATAGCCTCATGATTGGCTGTGTGTGGCAATATCTAGCCTCATGATTCACTGTGTGTGGCAATATCTAGCCTCATGATTCACTGTGTGTGGCAATATCTAGCCTCATGATTCACTGTGTGTGGCAAAATCTAGCCTCATGATTGGCTGTGTGTGGCAAAATCTAGCCTCATGATTGGCTGTATGTGACAGTGTATAGCCTCATGATTGGCTGTAGGTGGCAGTGTATAGCCTCATGATTGGCTGTATGTGACAGTGTATAGCCTCGTGATTGGCTGTATGTGGCAGTGTATAGCCTCATGATTGGCTGTATGTGACAGTGTATAGCCTCATGATTGGCTGTATGTGACAGTGTATAGCCTCATAATTGGTTGTATGTGACAGTGTATAGCCTCATGATTGGCAGTGTATAGCCTCATGATTAGCTGTATGTGGCAGTGTATAGCCTCATGATTGGCTGTGTGTGGCAATATCTAGCCTCATGATTCACTGTGTGTGGCAATATCTAGCCTCATGATTCACTGTGTGTGGCAATATCTAGCCTTATGATTGGCTGTGTGTGGCAATATCTAGCCTCATGATTGGCTGTATGTGACAGTGTATAGCCTCATGATTGGTTGTATGTGACAGTGTATAGCCTCATGATTGGCTGTGTGTGGCAGTGTATAGCCTCATGATTGGCTGTGTGTGGCAGTGTATAGCCTCATGATTGGCTGTGTGTGGCAATATCTAGCCTCATGATTCACTGTGTGTGGCAATATCTAGCCTCATGATTCACTGTGTGTGGCAATATCTAGCCTCATGATTCACTGTGTGTGGCAAAATCTAGCCTCATGATTGGCTGTGTGTGGCAAAATCTAGCCTCATGATTGGCTGTATGTGACAGTGTATAGCCTCATGATTGGCTGTAGGTGACAGTGTATAGCCTCATGATTGGCTGTATGTGGCAGTGTATAGCCTCATGAATGGCTGTGTGTGGCAGTGTATAGCCTCATGATTGGCTGTATGTGACAGTGTATAGCCTCATGATTGGCTGTATGTGACAGTGTATAGCCTCATGATTGGCTGTATGTGGCACTGTATAGCCTCATGATTGGCTGTATGTGACAGTGTATAGCCTCATGATTGGCTGTATGTGACAGTGTATAGCCTCATGATTGGCTGTATGTGACAGTGTATAGCCTCATGATTGGCTGTATGTGGCACTGTATAGCCTCATGATTGGCTGTATGTGACAGTGTATAGCCTCATGATTGGCTGTGTGTGGCAATATCTAGCTCATGATTGGCTGTATGTGGCAGTGTATAGCCTCATGATTGGCTGTGTGTGGCAGTGTATAGCCTCATGATTGGCTGTATGTGGCAGTGTATAGCCTCATGATTGGCTGTGTGTGGCAGTGTATAGCCTCATGATTGGCTGTATGTGACAGTGTATAGCCTCATGATTGGCTGTATGTGACAGTGTATAGCCTCATGATTGGCTGTATGTGACAGTGTATAGCCTCATGATTGGCTGTATGTAGCAGTGTATAGCCTCATGATTGGCTGTATGTGACAGTGTATAGCCTCATGATTGGCTGTGTGTGACAGTGTATAGCCTCATGATTGGCTGTGTGTGGCAGTGTATAGCCTCATGATTGGCTGTGTGTGACAGTGTATAGCCTCGTGATTGGCTGTATGTGACAGTGTATAGCCTCATGATTGGCTGTGTGTGGCAGTGTATAGCCTCATGATTGGCTGTGTGTGACAGTGTATAGCCTCATGATTGGCTGTATGTGACAGTGTATAGCCTCGTGATTGGCTGTGTGTGACAGTGTATAGCCTCATGATTGGCTGTGTGTGGCAGTCTATAGCCTCATGATTGGCTGTGTGTGGCAGTGTATAGCCTCATGATTGGCTGTGTGTGGCAGTGTATAGCCTCATGATTGGCTGTGTGTGACAGTGTATAGCCTCATGATTGGCTGTATGTGACAGTGTATAGCCTCGTGATTGGCTGTGTGTGACAGTGTATAGCCTCATGATTGGCTGTGTGTGGCAGTGTATAGCCTCATGATTGGCTGTGTGTGACAGTGTATAGCCTCATGATTGGCTGTGTGTGACAGTGTATAGCCTCATGATTGGCTGTGTGTGACAGTGTATAGCCTCATGATTGGCTGTGTGTGGCAGTGTATAGCCTCATGATTGGCTGTATGTGACAGTGTATAGCCTCGTGATTGGCTGTAAGTGACAGTGTATAGCCTCATGATTGGCTGTGTGTGGCAGTGTATAGCCTCATGATTGGCTGTGTGTGACAGTGTATAGCCTAAATTTTGGCTGTGTGTGACAGTGTATAGCCTCATGATTAGCTGTGTGTGGCAGTGTATAGCCTCATGATTGGCTGTGTGTGAGACAGTGTAAAGCCTAAATTTTGGCTGTGTGTGGCAGTGTATAGCCTCATGATTGGCTGTGTGTGGCAATATCTACCATGAGATGATCCTTACCCTCCTCAAACACGCATGCTTCCACGACACTTGACACATTCATTCATTTGAGCAAGGATTTATGACTCACCACTGACAGGTTTTAACTTTTTGCAGGAATCTCAGCATAATGAGATGACAAGGTCAGTATTTTATATTTGTTCTTTTCTGTTCGTAATCCAGCTTTGCTGCTTTGGGAGCTGAGGTATCTTTTGCTTGCCTTCCAGAACTAGATATGTTTCTGTGGTTGTGTGGTATATCCATGTTTGTTTGGTTTTTCTAACCACATTTGCCAGGTTTGACCTCCTGTAACTTTAAGTCGACACCATTTTTAGCTAAGCTTTTGTTGCTGGTCCTTCTACAACCTTTTATCTCCTACGCCAACACAGGTTTGTAATCAACTGACCCCTCCTATTCTTGTCCAAATTCTGCAGCTCCTGCAGTAAGTATACTATCCTGGACCAGACCGTATAATTCTGTTTGTTTCAATAAAAAGTTAGTTGAGTAGTCTTTACAGGACATTATAAAATAAACCCCTGAATTTGTTGGCTTTTGGTTTTACTTGGCAGTGTTATGTTCACTAGTTTGCCTTGCTTCCTGAATGGTCACTTTTTGATACCAGTGTCAAAATCAAAGCAAAGCAGCCTTGCTGCCAGATCAAATGGAATCGAATTGCATACCTCGGAATTATAAGATGTGCTGGCGTCACCTAAGCCATAGACTCTGACTGTTCAGTTACTGCAGGTATAATTCAAAGCAAGGAACAGATTCAGGAACTTGGTGACAATGGTCGAGATTTATAGAATGATTGTGGGGAGGGGGAAGGTGATAAATACATGAATGGCTTGGCCATGCATGGGCACAACAAGAGCACTGACCAATCTACATGATTCTGCTGATCTTTGATGATGGTGCATCAAGACCACCTTTGCTTATTGGCTTGGCACCTGATCTTGATATTTCAGGGAGACTAGGGAGCTGAGTAATTGTTTTTTGCTTATTTAAAAGGGGAAATATTTGGGAACCTTTGGTCTTGATCACTGAGGAGTTGATTTCTGGTAGTAGCTATTGTTGTCTTCATAATCTAGGCTATAGTCGGTCAGAATAATTGCTTTGCACCAGAAAGCTGCAAAACCGACACGACCATTTGGCTCAATTCCCTGTAAATGTCACTCTTTTTTTTTTCTCTACTTTTCTTTGGTGACCTGTTTAGGAGACACATAGTAAATGTTATTGGCTGTTTTCCCACCAGCACAAACATTCAGCACAGGGCTAAGTTTTCCCACCAGCACAAACATTGAGGACAGGGCTAAGATTTCCCACCAGCACAAACATTGAGGACAGGGCTAAGTTTTCCCACCAGCACAAACATTTAGGACAGGGCTAAGTTTTCCCTGGGGGCACAAACATTTAGGACAGGGCTAAGTTTCCCACCAGCACAAACATTGGGACAGGGCTAAGTTTTCCCACCAGCACAAACATTGAGGACAGGGCTAAGTTTTCCCTGGGGGCATAAACATTCAGCACAGGGCTAAGTTTTCCCACCAGCACAAACATTCAGCACAGGGCTAAGTTTACCCACCAGCACAAACATTCAGCACAGGGCTAAGTTTACCCACCAGCACAAACATTCAGCACAGGGCTAAGTTTACCCACCAGCACAAACTTTCAGCACAGGGCTAAGTTTTCCCTGGAGGCACAATTTTAAAAATGGGTATCATCAGGGGCCAGAGTCCCGAGCCCCAGCATTAATACATCACAGTTGGCAGTGATCTGTGGACCTCCAGTTGGCAACGATCCGTGGACCACCAGTTGGCAACGATCCGTGGACCACCAGTTGGCAATGATCCGTGGACCACCAGTTGGCAATGATCCGTGGACCACCAGTTGGCAATGATCCGTGTACCACCAGTTGGCAATAATCCGTGGACCACCACGTGGCAATGATCCGTGGACTTCCAGTTGGCAATGATCCGTGGACCACCAGGTGGCAACGATCTGTGTGGACCTCCAGTTTGGCAATGATCCCTGGACCACCAGTTGGCAATGATCTGTAGACCACCATTTGAATCGAACAGGTTTAGGAGGTCATGATATGACTGCATTGACTAAAATAAGCATCTAAGGAGGTTTTCCTTTGAGCCGGCACCTGTGGCTTAGGCATTGCAAATGCGCTTTATGAAGTGCTTGATTCAGTCCCAGCTGGGCCAGTTTGGCAGAGTTTTGATTGTCGCGAGAGCCAACGTTTCATAAAGCAGGGATAAACTACTCAACTTTAAAATTTGTTAGTGAAATCAGTTTAAAAAAAAAAAATTGGGTCGTTGGTTCTGCAACATAATGTGAAGGATACACTACTGACTTTTTCCATTGAACCAAATAGCTTTTTTTTTAAACCACGTTGACATCAGATGTTCCTGTAGCCACAATGATAAAGGTCATGGGGTCAAAGCAAATGTCATCTGATACATTTTTTTCCAGGCTTTGGAGAATGTATTCCATTTAATGCTTCACCCTGTTCATGTTTATTGATGACTCCTTGCATACATCTTTAATATCATTATATATTTAAAAAATTATTTTAGTGTATATAAATAAATTTGTTATGAATATATTAGGGACTTGTGTAAAATTGTCATTTATTTTAGGATTTGAAAATAGAATTCCAGTGGGGTCATAGCCCTTTCTTTAGCATTTCTAGAGCAAAGGGTAATAAAGGTACTGAAAGTGACATCATTCAAAACAAGCCCATAAATTCTCTGCTTTCTTGAGCAGATATTGAAATATAGGAATTCTGATTTTATTCTTTCATTGGGTTTTTGTGTGATTTGTTTGTTTGTTTGCACACCTGGTATTTTCTTCCTGGAGTAAGACTGATCAAAACAGTCTCTTGGTGTGTTTTGCTTTTTGTTCCTTTGTGTGTTTCAGCCATTTGGCTCAAGAGTAGTTGTATTTATTTCCAATTTGTAAGGGTATCTAGGTTTGCCAAAGATAAGACAGGTTAGGCTGTCTTGAGTAGTTTTATCATCATACCTGAGTTTACTTGCTAGTTAAAGAATAGGTTTTAACTTGATGGATGTGGCTCTGGAATCTCAGCTTAGTCAAATGGGTACCAGAAATTTCTCTAGGAAGAAACATGTGCAATGAAAAAAACCTTGTTATGCAGCCCCTATGTATATTAAAACATATTATTTCACAGCCTTACTGAAGCGACAGTTATCTTTGCTTTTGTCATTACTTACTATTTAACATGTGTTACTACCATCATTTATTCCAGATTATTGACTGATCGAGAACGCCAGCTTCTCAACACAAAACAATTTGGAGTATTAGTACACGAGCAGAGCCGAGTTGATGCTGAGCTAGAAGCAGTGGTAACTCTCCTTCTGATTCACATTTATATAGTCACTGCAGTGTATCATGAGCATTATTTTTAGAAAGCTAAAATTTCATTGGAGCAAATTTTATAAGTAAATGATCTACAAAAACTCAGAATATTGTTCTGTCTTTCAACAGTCTTGTCAGAAAAAAGAAATTTGGAGGATGCACCTGCAGAACACTGCAACTGAATTAAAGTCTGAGAAAGAATTTCAAAAAGAAAAAAAAAAAATAGAGTGTCTTATGAAATACACAAATACTTGGACAAATCGTCATTTGTCTGAAAACATATTGAAAGCTTCGTATGTAACAAACATACACGTCTCAAACAAAGATGTGTTCAACAGGAGTGGAAGATACTTTACACATGTCTCAAACAAAGATGTGTTCAACAGAAGTGGAAGAAACTTCACACATGTCTCAAACAAAGATTTGTTCAACAGGAGTGGAAGATACTTTACACATGTCTCAAACAAAGATGTGTTCAACAGGAGTGGAAGATACTTGATTAATTCATAATATTTAACGGCCTCAAATGGTTCCCCCCCCCCCCCCCCTTCTGTTTATTTATAGGAATGACGTATACACACCGGAACCTACCAATCAAATACCTTTCTTAAATGTTTGTGTATTCTAGACAAAGCTATAAAGTCTTACTGTGTTCGTAAATTGTTGCTGTGATTGTTATTCGACATTTGCTTCGTTAATATAAATTTCTGTAACCTATGGTGCCATTTCAATGGGTTGAAATGAATTCTGTCCGTATTCCATAGTCATGGATTTCAAGCTGTACGATAGACATGGCCAATGAGACACCTTTTTTTGGGGGTGCCTAGTTGACCATGTATCTTAGTGCACTTGTATTCATGGCGAGGCGCAGACGCTGTCTGGAGGTGACAGGTTCAATTCCCGGCACGGTAACTATAGCTTTCGATTTTATGTTGTCTAGTTCTTCTTCTTGTTCACCGGCTGTGAATTCCGGCGGTAAGTCACGGTTGTTCGTCCAAAATGGACTTTTGGCTTTTACCTTGACCTGAGTTTTGCGTGTACATCCGTTTTACTGGCTTATTTGTTTGCAGTACTCGTTCCCCGCCTCTCAGGCAGATGTACTCCGACTTCGGAGGAAGACGTCAAGCCTATTTCTAAGTTGACTGTGGCCATTGTTTTGTGTGGGTCGAGATGTTGCCTTATTTGTGTGGTGTCCTCTTTGACTTTTAACAAGTGTGGCCCCCGGCATGTCGTCCTTAAGGCAGCTCTATGTAGTTTTCAGCCCTCAAGGGAAGGCAGGGGCAGATCATGGGCATTCCCCGCCATCCAAGGAGGCTTCCATAAATGCAGAGCCGACACATGATGCTCTGGTTCTGGGCTCACCCAAGGAATCTTCACGTCCTGCCCATGACTGCTTAACCTCACAACCGTGTATTGAGCTTCCCGCGCTACAAGGCTGCGCTCTCCGGAGATCAGCGGGGAGCAGCCCGCAGGTCTAGGACGTTTGTGGCCACACAAATAGGTACATTCTTTTTCATCTTACGTTAGACACCTTTAACGTTGTTTCAGCTGTGCCCTTAGCACGACAGAATGGGGAAGCAAAATGCGTCAGGCGTGGCTTCACCTGTTTGGTCCCAACACTCGGGCGAGTTGGACCAGTGGATACGGACATTCAGACTTTTCCTAATCGGTACGAGTTATGATCGTCGGACTTTGAGCTTGCATGTGTGCCGTGGGGTGTAACTTTGTCGGACATTGTTTTCAAGCCAGCATATGAATAGTTGCTGCCATGGTGTACCTCAGCGCGGTGACGACGACACTGAGGATTGACAGAGGATGTACGTAGGTGGGATCTTGCTGCGAGAAGTCGCCCACAAGAGATGTTACTCGTCTTGGCTGCGGGTAAATCTCTCGGTCAGGGTTGAGTCTCAGCAGCACAGTTTTCCATTCGCTCCCGAATTTTAACCAAGAGTTGTCATTTGATGGTACATTTAGCAAGCAGTCCTTGAGTTTTGTTACTTTTCACCCATGCGTTTGGGGGCGGGCTGGTGAGAGCCAGAAAGGACTCTACACCTCTGGGGGCCGCCAGCTCCTAGATCCCCTGCCAACTCTGTTAATGCTCATTTGAGACATTATCCGTGGCGCACGACGGGGACGTGCAACAGGAGTCTTGCATGAGGTTCCGTAAAACCAGAACAGTTTTCTTCTTCTTCTTTCGTTCGCATGAAATAAATTGTCTATATCTGCAAAGCTGTCTCTTGTATGAATTTCACTGTCTTTTGTAATTCACTAAGCGGCCCGTAAAGTTTGACTTCCACAAGTGTCTCTTTTGGCCAAATGTTTTGCCTGAAAGCGTTGAATATGGGACAGTCTTGAAGGATGTGATCTGTTGTTTCAGGTGCCAGTCCACAAGTACACATGGCCGATTGGCCAATCTTAAATTTGTTGTACATGTGGGAGCGAAGTCTATTGTGCCCTGTTCTAAGGCGAAAGGATAATAACTTGCTCTGGTCTGTCCATAATATGGTAATCATCTTGTGCCAGTTTCGGTGGCATTCTGATTGATTTGATCATTCTCTTCTTCTGTTGATAAGACCAGAACAGTGAAGTACTGGCGCCCGAGTGGGGTACGGAATATCTCCTTATACACATCACATCAGACTTAACTTCCCCTCATGCCTGTGACCGAAATCACCGCGCCACATGTTGTCTAGTGTGTTCTTCTATCTTTCTACTTCTTTCTATGAGTGCTGTTCACAATACTTTCTGTTACTTGATTAATTCATAAAGATGTGTTCAACAGGAGTGGAAGAAACTTCACACATGTCACAAACAAAGATGTGTTCAACAGCAGTGGAAGAAACTTCACACATCTTGAAATAAAGATGTGTTCAACAGGAGTGGAAGAAACTTTACACATGTCTCAAACAAAGATGTGTTCAACAGGAGTGGAAGAAACTTTACACATGTCTCAAACAAAGATGTGTTCAACAGGAGTGGAAGAAACTTTACACATTTCTCAAACAAAGATGTGTTCAACAGGAGTGGAAGAAACTTTACACATGTCTCAAACAAAGATGTGTTCAACAGGAGTGGAAGAAACTTTACACATTTCTCAAACAAAGATGTGTTCAACAGGAGTGGAAGAAACTTTACACATTTCTCAAACAAAGATGTGTTCAACAGGAGTAGAAGAAACTTTACACATGTCTCAATCAAAGATGTGTTCAACAGGAGTAGAAGAAACTTTACACATTTCTCAAACAAAGATGTGTTCAACAGGAGTAGAAGAAACTTTACACATGTCTCAATCAAAGATGTGTTCAACAGGAGTAGAAGAAACTTTACACATTTCTCAAACAAAGATGTGTTCAACAGGAGTAGAAGAAACTTTACACATTTCTCAAACAAAGATGTGTTCAACAGGAGTAGAAGAAACTTTACACATTTCTCAAACAAAGATGTGTTCAACAGGAGTGGAAGAAACTTTACACATGTCTCAAACAAAGATGTGTTCAACAGGAGTGGAAGAAACTTTACACATTTCTCAAACAAAGATGTGTTCAACAGGAGTGGAAGATAATTCACAAATGTTTTGAAACAAAGATATAATGAATTTTAATAGAAATGAAAGAACCTTCACATATGTCTTGAAAGAAAGATATAATAAAGATAATCAGAAATAGAAGAAAATTCGGCTCTACTGGCAAATCTGGACGAAGAATAAAAAGCCTTGGACGACTTAGTCAGAGTTCTCCTTCTTGGCCGCACTCCCAACAGTGATCGGAAAAGCCACAACGAAACAAACGACACACTTACTTACCTATCATCCTACGGTTGCGTGTAGGGCTGCGTACGGTTGCGTGAGGTATCGTGAAGGGATGCGTGGTCATCATATGGTTGCGTGCAGGGTTTGCGTACGGTTGCGTGAGGCATCGTGAATGGTTGTGTAGTCATCATGCGGTTGTTGGGTTAGAGTTAGGGGTAGGGTTAGGGTTAGGGGTAGGGTTAGGGTTAGGGGTAGGGGTAGGGTTAGGGTTAGATGTGAAAATTTTGACGTAGGATTTCGAAATACTGGCCGACAATCTGATGTTTGTGGGAGTGGCGCCACTGAAACTCTGCCAAATATGACGCCAATAGCGTGCGGCTGGTGCCCCCAATCGTTGGTGAATTGTGCGTTTGACCAGCATCCAGAGGCCCTCGATTGTTTGTGTGTGTGTATGGGACTGTGCGCGATTATAGGGAAATCCGGCGTCAAAATTGTCCAATCTAACGCTAAACCTAACCCTACCGCTAACCCTAATCCTAATCCTACTCCCTAACCCTAACCCCTACCCCTAACCACGCAAATTTATCGATCATTACAGCATACAAATCGGCAAAAACCAGCACACAAAACACACCCCAAAAAAAAAAACCCAGATTTGTCCTGCAGCGTCGAAAAAAAACCCAGATCTGGGGGAAACAACCAAGCATTGGCATCCCTGATGTCGACGTGACTGTCTTCTTTGTTTCGTTGGCTTTTCCGATCACTGTTGGGAGTGCGGCCAAGAGAGAGAACTCTGACTAAGTCGTCCAAGGCTTTTTATTCTTCGTCCGGATTTGCCAGTAGAGCCGAAAATTCACATATTCCTTGAAACAAGCGCAAAAAAAGTGTTCTACCTTTGTATCAAGACAGAAGAAACCACACATATCAGACATTTAGGTAGGTCATTGTGATGAACAATTCACATTTGACAGTTGACATCAGGACTGTGGCAAAATATACAGACAAGACAATATATACACACATCAAAAACTTCAGTCACTGAATGATCAGAGATGTGAAATATTTAATCAAGACCTGTTTAAGAAGTTTGTGACGCTGAAATATTGAGAGAAGAAGATGAGGAGGTGATACGCTCACTAAAAGGAGGAAAATTGCCATGTGTGGACTATGTCACAGCTGAACTTTTAAAATACAGAGAACACGTAACTAAGGTGATTTGGATCACAAAGAAGTGGCCAACTGAATGGACAAATTCGTTGGGATACCACTGCCAACGAAAGGAAATCTGAAAAGCTGCAACAATTATAGAACTATTAGTCTAATCACACAAGCAAGCAAAATAATGTTAAAGATACTGCTGAACAGATTAAAGCAAAATCTGAAGAAATACTAGCTGAAGAATGAGCGGGCTTCCAGAAACATAGAAGTACCACAGAACGAATCTTCAACCTCAGAACAATGGTTGAACAACACTTACAACATCAACGCAACCTATTCCACAACTTCATCGACTTCAAAAAGGCATTTGACCATGTGTGGCATGCTGGGCTGTGGCAAATAATGAAAAATTTCAACTTCGATTAGAACGTCATTGACACATTATAAGCCTTTTATAAAGATGTAAGCAGCGCAGTACTCATTTAAAATGACATAGGCAAATTTTTTTTTTTCAAAACCAGTGTGGGAGTGAGACAGCGTTGCATTCTATTTCCTGTCCTTTTCAATTTGTATTTGAAACACACCATGAGAGAAACATTAGAAAATAATGAAACATCTACATCCATGGGTGGAAGACAATTGTGTAATTTTCCGTTTTGCAGAGAACATTGATCTCATGGCTGGCTCCGAAGCAGAACTCTAGAAACTGACTACAAAATTAGAGATAGTCTGTGGTAAACATGGCATAGAAATTAATGCAGAGAAAAGCAAAATTCTGGTAAACAGCCACAATAGTCAAGTACCTACCAAAATACACATAAACATGAAAAACTAGAATATCTTATCTCCACTGCAGAAGTTGAGGATGCAATACATCATATGAAGAAAGGAAAAGCACCCGGGCCAGACAACATCTCACTGGAAGAAATCGAAGCACTGGGAAATTTTGGAATTGAAATAATAACTAAACTTTTAAATGATATTTATAATAGTGGGTGTATTCCGAATGACCTTTTGAAATCCATATTTATAGCTCTGCCAAAGAAACCAGGCACTTTAAAATGTGAAGATCGTTGCACAATAAGTCTTATGAGTCACATGACTAAGATTTTACTGAGAATAATTATGAGAAGAATAAGAAACAAAATTAAACCAGAAATCAGCGATGAACAATGTGGATTTGTAGAAGGAAAAGGTACAAACAATGCCATATACATCCTAAGGACATTGTCAGAAAGAGCTGTAGAAGTAAAGACTGATTTGTACTTATGCTTCATAGACTATACAAAAGTATTTGATTGTGTGAAACATGAAGAAGTAATCAAACTGTTAGAAAAATTAAACATTGATGGTAAAGATCTACGAATAATAAAGAATATGTATTGGCAGCAAACAGCAGCTATAAGAATAAACAACTGTTTAGGTACATTTCAAAGCATAAAGAGGGGCGTACGACAAGGATGTGTACTTTCACCTGATTTGTTTTTAATATACAGTGAATATATAATGAGATCTTTAATTGATATTCCCGGAATTGTGGTTGGTGGGCACAATATAAACAATTTACGTTATGCTGATGACACAGTCTTGATAGCAACAAGTCAGAAAGAATTACAGGAAATGATAGACATTGTGGTGTTAGAAAGTGGAAGAATGGGACTCAGTTTGAATAATGGGAAGACAGAAGTAATGGTGGTATGCCAGTCGGCAAGGCACCTGATGATGATGATGATCTCCCACATATGCAACGATGGCAGCTGTACCAGAGAGATCAAGACAAGGCTTGATATGGCAACAACCGCAGTGTCCCAGCTGAATACGATATGGAAGAGCAAAATCAGCATCGCAGTTAATGTCCATATATACAGGTCACTGGTTTTGTCTGTTTACTTATACGGATGTGCGAGTTGAAGTCTCACTGTGAAAATGGAAAGGAGGATTCAGGCTTTTGAAAGTACATGAAATAGATGCATTTTACGAATGAGTTATTTAAAACACAACACTAATAAATATATCAGAGACAAAATATACAAGTTTGCAGGACATGGGGAGCCTCTGGCAAGCTAGCTTTGTTTCAGGCATGTGCTGATTCATTTGCAAAGCCTGTACTTGAAGGAACATTGGAGGGAGTTGAAGAAGAGAAGGGCAACAAAGAACCTGGAATGATAACATCAGGAAATGGACAGGACTAAGTTATCATACACTTGTTCATTAAGCGGAAGACAGAGAAAAATGGTTGGTTTTATGTGCTAGTGCTTCCATCTACACATCTCCACGACCCTAAGAGGTAAAGGGTTATGTTATTTAAGACATAAATAATAATATGACCTTGTATTGGGTAGCCATCCAGTTCACTATATAAAGTTCGGGAGTATATTAAATGAACACTAAAAGACTAAATATGGCAGTACAGTTTACTGTGATTATAGATTATATTCTTTCAGTGGGCTGAATATTTTGAAAAACTTCTAAGTAGACCAGGCCCAGAAGTTCCTCCAGATATCTTTTAGAAATGGAACTAGATATCAACTGTGAGATACCGTCTAAAGAGGTAATTAGAAAAGCTATCAATCTTCTCAAGGAAGGAAAGGCCGCAGGTCCAGATGGTATCCCAGCAGAAGCCATTAGGGCCAGCATAAACACATCAACGGAATTGCTACATAGATTATTTAGTAAAGTCTGGGAGACCGAAGAAATACCAGCAGACTGGAGAGAAGGATATCTACCCAAAAAAGGTGATCTACAGGAATGAGGAAACTATAAAGGAATTAAGTTGCTGTCAGTTCCTGGAAAAAAGTAGAATTATTTTGGAAAGATTAAAAGATGCTATTGATAAAAAGCTAAGAGATGAACAGGCAGGTTTTCAGCCAAACAAATTCTGTACTGACCAGATAGCCACATTACATATACTAATAGAGCAAAGCATTGAACTGAACTCACCACTTTACATTGGATTTATAGACTATGATAGGGAATCTCTGGAAATTGATGGGGTACTATGGAATCACATAGAAAATTATTACCTTATTAACACTTTGTCACCTCTCATATCTTTACTGGCTATAGACTGGATTATGAAGACAGTAACTGCTAACACAAAGAATGAAATTCAGTGGACCCCTACAAAACAGCTTGAGGATCTGGACTTCACTGATGATATTTCTCTTCTGTCCCATTCACGGAATCAGATGCAAGATAAATTAAATATACTTAATGCGAGATCACAGCAGCTTGGTCTGAAAATCCATAAAGGAAAGACAGAGATATTGAGACTAAATCAGGCAAATAGTAATGTGGTTTCTCTTAATGGCACCCAACTCCAAGATTTGGAGTCGTACACCTATTTGGGAAGTAATGTAGATATAGATGGGGGAACTGATAGAGATATTAAAAAAAGAATACAAAAGGCAAGAGGAGCTTTCATAGCACTAGGGAATTTGTGGAGGTAAAAAAAAATTAAAAGAAATACTAAACTTAAAATTTTTAATTATGATGTCAAATCAGTATTTTTGCATGGGGTGGAAAGATGGAGAACAACTAAGGCAATTATTAATAATCTACAAACATTCATTAACTGGTGCCTGTGCAGAATAGAGGGAATTAAATGGTATGATAGAATAACTAATGTAGAGCTTTGGGAGAGAACTAAGCAAGCTCCAGTGGACCAAGAGGTGAGGAAAAGATGCTGGACACAGAATAGGACACACATTGCGAAAGCCGGAAAACAATATGACTAGAATGTGATTGCATTGGAACTCACAGAAGCATAGGAACAAAGGAAGGCCAAAAAACACATAGAGAAGGGAGCTGGAAAATTAAGATAGAAAGATGGGGGAGAGCGGCATGCGATAGAAAAGGATAGAACGACTTGGCGTGAGTTGGTTGAGGGCCTATGCTCCATTGGGGGCTAAAAAGGCAGACGAAGAAAGAAGAATATTCTTTGAGTTTAATCCGGTCGTTCACAAAATTCACTTTAATAGCAGTCATCATTATCATCAGGTGCCATGCCACCTGGTGGGTGATGTGGTCAACATAGTGTTGTTTTGACTGCTGAGGATCTTACCTACTAGCCATTTTAGGTTGAGCCAACCTGGCAACCAAGGTCATTTTTTTTTAAACCTTTTGACTCAGTGCAGATTTTAACCCATGACTTCTGTGCCTGCACGTGAGCATCTAGTAGCCACGCCACGGCAGTTCCCAACACACACAGAAAGAGTACAATTGTTACCCTTGAAACTAGCATATCAGTTTTGCTCTGTGACCTTGGACACCTATGTACACTTGTAATTGTATATTTGTTTGTTCCCTGACAGCTAGCGCAGGAGGAGAAAGAGATTGAGAGAGAAGAAGCAGCATTTTATGAGGCAAAGCGAGAAGCTGCAAGGATTGCCAGATTGAATAAAGACAAAGAGAATGCTTCACGAAATAATAGTAAAGCCTGGTCCAATACTGATGACATGTGAGTGTTGTTGGCTAAACTGTACATAGAAAAAAGAACAAAATAACTGAGTGTGTACCATTGTTGGTTTTGGCATGATGATTTTGTTGAACATATACACTCAAATGTCGTTGATTAATTTGATTGATTGGCACCTTTCTGATTTGATTTGATTTGATTCAAGAACTGACATCACAGCACTCGGGGCATTCCCATGAGCGTTCCATCCCCATCTTCAGCAGCCAGCGAAGAGTTCTGATACTAATGGTGCCAGTAGCTTTCTGATTAAATGTCTGTCTTGCCTTTCCTCTGAGCCTTGAGCTTCTGCCAGAACCTCTCGTCACCCCCAACTGCATCAATCTCATCAAACTGTGGTGATCCATCTGCTCCTCTGCATTGTACACGCTCTCCCACAAGGCACTAAAAACGTCTGCCCTATCATGTAGCAGTATTCCACCAAGTTGTGCAGAGCCAGCCAGTCTGTCCGCCTGTTCATTTCCCAACACACCGGCGTTATCACGGTGAAAAAATCGAGACACTACTCCTTACTCGTGTCCTCTGCAGCGAAGCATGCCACTCTGCACGAAAAGTACCTGTTCTGATCTTCCTCAGCATGCTTTCTGAATCAGTTACAATTACAATGTGTGTGTGTCGTGTTCTCTAGCCAGCGGAAAGCTGCAATGACCGCCTCCACCTCCATTCTTAAGCTGGATGTTGTGGTATCATATGCTAGGCTCTCCTGCACCCAAACGTCGACCATTAACTTTTGCTAAAAAGCCCCAAGCATTACCTTGAATTAATTGCTGAATTTCCACATCTGTGGCACCTGCTGGCCAGTCTCTGCATTCCCGGCTCAGCGTGATGATGACTCTACACAAGTCTGACTGCTCAGGTGGCACTTTGACCCACTCCTCTCCTCGCCTAATGTTCTCAAGGATGCAAACCTGTCTGATTGTGTCTTCTGCCTGAGCCATCCATGACCTCCCTCTTATCAGCCACTGACCCTTAACTGCACCCAGAGCTTCATGCAGAGGGGGGTCTGTGTCTGCAGCTACCATGAGATATGACTTCGCCTGCATCACCTTGTGCCTACCTGCAACCGTCGGCAAACCAAGGATGTATCGCATACACACCACTGGGGTGTCTCTGGTGCAACCCAGAATGACCTGCATAGCCGCGTTCTGTATGCGCTCTAGTTTGTCCATCTGACTCTTTGAGACGGTAAGCAGTCCCAGGCCATAATCTACCACTGACAGGATCAGGTGCTGATATAGTGTGAAAAGCATTCTCTGCTCTATGTCAATTGCAGCCATAGTCTTAAGTGCACTAAGTCCTTTTTGGCATCTCGTCACAACACTCTTCACATGGTCCTTAAATGACAAGCTCCTGTCAAATGTAATTCCCAGATACTTCAGTTTTCTCTCTCTGTTGACGTCTCTACCATCTATCGTGAGACTTGGCACATTAGTTTTAACGATTCTATTGTCCAGATAACACCACAAAACAGACACCTTTTCCGGGTGGACGACAGCCTTCATTTCTGTTCACAACTCAGTCACTTTGTCTACTGTCGCTTGTAGCTCCCGGGCTGTTTGTTCCCTCTCTTCCCCCTGCAAGTATATCATCCGCAAAAGTCAGCATCCTTCCAACTCCTGGTGCTTCTAGGCTTGCAATCTTGCTCGTATACACGTTGAAGAGCACAGGCGAGATGGCGGATCCCTGTGGCAGCCCTGGGGCCAAAGTACATGGTTCAGAAGTCCAAGAGCCCAGTCGGAGAGCAACCCGACGTGAATACAGGACAGCTGCAACCCAATTCACCAGCCATGGATTGACCTCCTTCTCCCTCATTAAGATGTCGCCATAGTTTCCTGTCTGTTCTGGAACCCTTCATAGACGTCAAAAGCAAAAGTGGCCGCATTTGCCCAAGTGTCCTTTCCTGACCTGTAGCTTCCCAGACCTCTTGGGAGAAGCTTCCTCCTTTCCAAAAATTCTTGTAACTTTACAGCAACTATCTTTTCCAAGACCTTCCCAAATGTGTTTTGTAAGGTGATGATTCTAAAGCCACTAAGCTTAGAATGATCTTTAAAAGGTTTTGGTAGTGGGATTAGATAGCTGTGCACCCAGTCTTGCGGTACTGATGCTGTCTTAATACTCTGGTTAAAACAGTCGGCCATCTCTGCCAGGTCTACATCGCTCAAAGCCTTCATGTGACCATACCTGACACCATCAGGCCCTGGTGCAGTGTCTTTCGCTTGTTGCTAAAGATGGGGACAGAGCGCTTTTGGCAGTGTCCCAAGTGCTATGATGTTGATTCTTAATTCAGCATTCAACGTTATAAGATGAATTTCTTGGCTTCAGGTTGGAGAGACATGTATATACTTTAACAGATGTAAGGGGCATCTCATCAGAAATAGTCTTACTGCGTTTTACTAAAACTCTCTCTCTCTTACTAAGAGAGCCAGCCAGTACTATATGGAATCTGATCTTCATAGTGAATTAGTTAGTTAGTTAGTTAGTTAGTTAGTTGGGTTATCCTCATTGCACTCCGGACATGTCCATAGGTGCTCAGATCCTCCCCTCAGTATGAACCCCAACGTCCGATGGCTAATAGTACCAGTTCTATGTTGATTAACAAGTCTTCTGGCGTAGCTGGTGTGCGTCTCGTTTTTTGCTGTGCCGATCTTAATTCCCAAGTCTGCCATTCTGGCGAGTGATGTGGATTCACTGCCACCAAAGTCCTCTATTCTTCCCATTTCTCTGAGGGCATTGATAATATCAGCATGATCCATAGGCTGACCGTCGGTAGTGATAGCGGATCCAGCCAACCTGTCAGCTCTTTCATTTCCATTGACGCCTGCGTGTCCCGGAACAAAAATAAAGGTGACTCCACGAACAGTGGACTTCTGTAATGATTCAAGCCATTGTCTTCGCACTGAACTTGCCTGAACCCTCCGGATCATACTCATTGAATCACTGAGTATACACACGCGGGTGTATTTTTGTGTTTCAAGCCAGGCAAGCGCTTGTGTCACTGCCATCACCTCCATCGTCATGCTGCTGGTTGTCATGGAGAAGGCGCCGTTGGCTTCTTTGACTGTTCTGCCCGCTGAGCGTGCTGTAAATGCCCATGCGCTTCTTCTTTGGCGTATAACGGATCCGTCTGTATAGATTATTGCATCTGCTTCGTCTGAATTTTCACCGATGAGAGCGTTGACCTCTGCATTAACAGCAACAGGATTCTCTTCTCTACATCGCCTGTTGAGTGTCTTCATAGTGAAGATTGCAGGTAATGAAACAAGAAGCAATCACTGCAGCTCTTTTGTTCCAGTGCTGAGCTGCCTGCGTTTGCAATGGAAGAAACAAGATTAAGTAGTCTTTTCACATGCTTGACCTAGTACATCTTGAACTATTAAAAGTAAGTAAAGTAAAGGACCCTTTTCCATGCCTTTAGGCGTATAGGGAATATAGGGCTAGACCTATATTTTAATAGACCAATCGGCACAAGATGGGTGATGTGGTCAGCATCACGCCGGCCGCCTTTACTTTCCCGGGACTGCACCCGGTACCCAGTCAAGGCTGGGTCGACCTGGGACCCAAGGTCATTTTTTAAAATAAGTCCGGCTCCGCCAGGGAGCGAACCCATCTTGAATTATTACAGCGATATTATTAATCATTGCGAAAGAGATCTAAATTGAGTGTGCAGAACATTTTACAAGCTTGTTTTGAGTTGTTTTTGTTTTGTTTTTTCGATCAGGACTGGTGACGAGGATGATTTTGAAAATTTCCTAGCTACTGTTAAAGCTAGATCACTGGCCACTAGATCTCAGGCTAATACAGGTAAGGAATAAAGGGATATGTTTATCTCTCTAATTGTATCTGTCTGTCTTTTTATTTACCTGTCTTTTTATCTGTCTGCCTTTTATCTAATAGTTTATTGTCTTTCTGTTCATCAGACCACGAGAAAAACACATAAACAAAATAACTCGACAGCATTTAGATCACAACAAACTACTTGAGTTGGCAGCCAATCATGTTTATAGACTTTAGAAAAGCATTTGATGTGACAGACCATACTATTTTTCAGAAATATATACAGATAAAAATGTAAATGTTTCTCTATTAGTGGTAGCTAGTCTCTGAAAGTTCTTCACTGATTGCTGTACAATTTTGACACAACATTGCATTCGAATACACGCAGGTTTTTACATAATAGTGTTGCACAAAGCACGAACCACGTAGCTCTAGTGACGATCACATTGGTTTTTTTGTTTTGATGCCGTATTCCCGGTCCGGGCTTTTAATTCTGCTGGTATTATTTCATTATAGGAGATCATTGCCAATGGTGGTGGACTGGAATTGTTTTGATTGATCTGGGTTTGAATTATTCTGCTTGAAGCTGTATGAGATAATACATTATTTTGTTCTGGGCACGACCAGTTGTTGAATAAATATATGGAATGGTAGGTGGTGAGTACTATCATCTCTGCTTTCCGGACAATGTTTGGAATTGAGCTGTTTTGTTTACCGTTGAATTCATTTTGTGCATTCTTGAACTCTGACTGTTGACCTCAGATACCATCTGATAGTAGTTGTAGTTGTTGGGTGGTTACAATGTTGGGCTGTCATGCAGGAAACCCAGGTTCAACCCCAAGTAAGGTGATAAGAGTTTTTCTGTCGGGGCATTATTAAACATCCTAAACTGAACAGTCTGTGGCGACAGCACTAGCCAATGACTTCTATGGCTTACCCCCCCCCCCCCCCCCACCCACCCCATCTACACTGACCTAGACAGGTGGTAAAGCAGGCAGTAGTGACAGTGTTTTAGGTTGTTGTGTTGCTGGTCGTGGTGGTAGTGGTGGTAGTAGTAGTACTGGTACTTGATGGCTGATGAGGTAAATATTACACTGGCCGCAATTATTTCTGATTGTAATTCCTGCTACCCATTTTAGTCTGGGTGGACACGGATTCCAAGGTAAACAAACAAACAAAAAAATTTTTCATTTTTAACTTATTTATATTTTGATAACGCTACCTCAGCTTTTCTCCAGCATGACCCTGTATGCTGAAAGTTCTTCACCGAATGCTTTGAAATTTGGACACAGCGCTTTTATATAAGAGTGTCACACAAAGCATGAATTACATAGTTCCAGTGACGATCACATTGGCTTGTTGGTTTTGTGTCTTTCTGACGATCCGATTTCTTTTGATAATTTTGGGCGAGGTGAGGAGTGGGTTAAGGTGTCCGAACAAGTTTAAGACTTGTGTAGGGTTTTAATCACGTGCTGCAGAATCAGAGGTTCAACAAATGATCCATGACAATTCCCGCCCAAGTGATGTGATTATCTATACAGATAGCTCTGTGTAGAGGGGCAGACGAAGTGCATGGGGGTTTCATAGCAAAGGCGAATTGACGTCGCCTAGAACAGCAAAGCCCAACAATTGATATCACAACGTCTAGTTTGAGAATGGACGTCGCCTAGAACAGCAAAGCCCAACAAATGATATCACAACGTCTAGTTTGAGAATGGACGTGGCCTAGAACAGCAAAGCCCAACAAATGATATCACAACGTCTAGTTTGAGAATGGACGTGGCCTAGAACAGCAAAGCCCAACAAATGATATCACAACGTCTAGTTTGAGAATGGACGTCGCCTAGAACAGCAAAGCCCAACAAATGATATCACAACGTCTAGTTTGAGAATGGACGTGGCCTAGAACAGCAAAGCCCAACAAATGATATCACAACGTCTAGTTTGAGAATGGACGTCGCCTAGAACAGCAAAGCCCAACAAATGATATCACAACGTCTAGTTTGAGAATGGACGTCGCCTAGAACAGCAAAGCCCAACAAATGATATCACAACGTCTAGTTTGAGAATGGACGTCGCCTAGAACAGCAAAGCCCAACAAATGATATCACAACGTCTAGTTTGAGAATGGATGTGGCCTAGAACAGCAAAGCCCAACAAATGATATCACAACGTCTAGTTTGAGAATGGATGTGGAGGTGTAGGCAGTCTCTGCCGCCTTCCGCTGGCTTGAGAATCAGCCGTACACACATGTCGTCATGGTAACTGGCTCACAGAGCATGTTGAGAATCAGCCGTACACACATGTCGTCATGGTAACTGGCTCACAGAGCATGTTGAGAATCAGCCGTACACACATGTCGTCATGGTAACTGGCTCACAGAGCATGTTGAGAAAGATGAAAACAGGCATGCTTCGTGCAGAGTGGCAAGCATCACTTCAGAGGTCCAGGGTAGTTAGCATTCTTTGGATATTTTCTCCCGGTGATGCAGGTGTTTTGGGAAATGAGCAGACTGAAAGACTGGCCGGTTTTGCACCACTTGGTGTTGAACTGATGTATGACAAGCTGGATGTTGTGCGGGCCCTTCATTGTCGAATATCTTCTAGAACCTCTGCTCACACCCCCCTCCCCCTCGCCCACTTTTCCATGTTGAGTCTTTCAGTGTATGGATTCCCTATCTGTTCGTTTTGCACTGTCCATTTGATCCCATTCAGCCTTTACCACATCCACTTTACCATATTGTAGCTCACGGCACAGAGAAGCAGCAGCAGCAGCTGACCTATCAGCCTGCTCGTTACCTCGCACACCGGAATATTCTGGATAGAAAATCTATGATATGCTATCGCTTTGGGTCTTATCAAGTGATGCAAGCAGCTCTGATTGCAGGACACCAGTTTCAGTTGTCCAGTGCATGCTCTGTGAGTCTCTGACAATCACATACTCTGTGTCTGTTACAATCACATGCTCTGTGAGTCTCTGACAATCACATACTCTGTGAGTCTTTTACAATCACATACTCTGTGAGTCTGTTACAATCACATACTCTGTGAGTCTGTTACAATCACATGCTCTGTGAGCTGTTACAATCACTTGCTCTGTGAGTCTGTTACAATCACATGCTCTGTGAGTCTGTTACAATCACATGCTCTGTGAGTCTGTTACAATCACATGCTCTGTGAGTCTGTTACAATCACATGCTCTGTGAGCTGTTACAATCACTTGCTCTGTGAGTCTGTTACAATCACATGCTCTGTGAGTCTGTTACAATCACATGCTCTGTGAGTCTGTTACAATCACATGCTCTGTGAGTCTGTTACAATCACATGCTCTGTGAGTCTGTTACAATCACTTACTCCATGAGTCTGTTACAATCACTTACTCCATGAGTCTGTTACAATCACATTAATTGCTGAATTTCCAACTCCGTGGCACGTGCTGGCCAGTCCCGGCTTAGTGTGATTATGACTCTACACAAGTCTGACTGCTCAGGTGGCACTTTGACTCACTCCTCTCCTCGCCTAATGTTCTCAAGGATGCAAACCTGTCAGATTGTGTCTTCTGCCTGAGCCATCCATGATCTCCCTTTTATCAGTCGCTGACCCTTAACTGCACCCAGAGCTTCATGCAGAGGATGGTGTCTGTCTGCAGCTACCCTGAGATATGACTTTGCCTGCAGCACCTTGTGCCTACCTACAACCGTCGGCAAACGGCAAAAAAAAAAATATACACATATCTGACAGAAAAAACACAACAGACTCTGAAGAGTCATGCAAGATATTTATATAAATACTGCTGCTACAGTTGATCAAGACTGTTTGCACTTTTACCTGTCAGCCTAGTAGTCTATATGTATTGTTTCATTCCTAGTCCTGGTGCAGCATTATTTGTTTTTAAACAATTATAAATTGAGAGCCATGGCAGGATAATTCTGAATGTCTTCCTGTAGCAGCCGTGTCCCCTGACCCCATGTACCCTGACCCCATGTCCCCTGACCCCATGTCCCCTGACCCCATGTCCCCTTAAATGAAGGGCTATTATTGCTAAATCAGTATTTGTCATAAGATCATCTTCTCAATTTATTGATATCTTTGTTGGCCGTTTATCATTTGTTGTATTAATTTATTATATGCTTTCATAATTTATCCTTTCTAGTGATGTCAACAAAGTTAAACAAGTTATCCCATGATCCTGAAAGCAATCAGCAGAATTCATCAGGACCAAGCCAAGATCCTTCCAGTGACCCAGAATGGGAGCCAGATTTTGTTAGTGCGGAATAATAAAAGAATCCAAGTTTTGAACACACAGTCATGACATAATGCCTGAGCAAGATTGTTTCACATATTTCCATTCATACATGTTCACATACTCTAACATTCACTTGTTTAAACTAAAGACAAGCTTTACTGAGAACATAATTATTTTTGTAAATTAATTGCTTTTCTTTACTTAAAGTTAAAGTAGAGAGGACCAACTTCAATGCACCAGATTTTGTTCTATATGGCTCAGTCTCTACTCACAGAATAGCTAGCCCCCTGCCGAAAGTGTTGCACAAAGCAGGAACTCCATAGTTCCAGCAATGATCCTCAGGGGTAAATGAGTCCATGACCTTCAGAGCATGAGGCGGACAGCTTGACCACTTCACGCCTTTCCTTATAGTGTTACTGAATTTCTTTGCTCCCAGAGTTGTTGTATTGATTCACTTTTATTATTTTAACTCAGCTTGTTTTACTCAGTGTTTTATATAGATTAACTCCTACCTACACAGACAGTTTTACATTTTTTGTAGATAAAGTTATAAATATTGGAGACAAAAGTTAAATGGAAAAAAATATGAAACAGAAGACATTAGCACTGAATATTTTATCTCATCTATGGTTTCATTTCCAATAAAACCATTGTGTCATGTAGCCAACGGAAGGGGATACTGATTTCTTCTCAACAGCATAAGGCAGGGGAGACTGGTTTCTTCTCAACAGCATAAGGCAGGGGAGACTGGTTTCTTCTCAACAGCATAAGGCAGTGGAGACTGGTTTCTTCTCAACAGCATAAGGCAGGGGAGACTGGTTTCTTCTCAACAGCATAAGGCAGGGGAGACTGGTTTCTTCTCAACAGCATAAGGCAGGAGAGACTGGTTTCTTCTCAACAACATAACGCAGGGGAGACTGATTTCTTCTCAACAGCATAAGGCAGGGGAGACTGGTTTCTTCTCAACAGCATAAGGCAGGGGAGACTGGTTTCTTCTCAACAGCATAAGGCAGGGGAGACTGGTTTCTTCTCAACAGCATAAGGCAGGGGAGACTGGTTTCTTCTCAACAGCATAAGGCAGGGGAGACTGATTTCTTCTCAACAGCATAAGGCAGGGGAGACTGGTTTCTTCTCAACAGCATAAGGCAAGGGAGACTGATTTCTTCTCAACAGCATAAGGCAGGGGAGACTGATTTCTTCTCAACAGCATAAGGCAGGGGAGACTGATTTCTTCTCAACAGCATAAGACAGGGGAGACTGATTTCTTCTCAACAGCATAAGGCAGGGGAGACTGGTTTCTTCTCAACAGCATAAGGCAGGGGAGACTGATTTCTTCTCAACAGCATAAGGCAGGGGATTTTAAATAATTGAAGCATGAATAGAATACTGAGCATTGACGATATATCATGTTGAGATCATATTTTTGGTGGCCAGACAGCACAGGATGTGCATCAATACCTGTTTGTCTGATGTAGGGTCAGTGGTTGCGTTATATTTGCTTTCAGCAGATCTGTGATATTTGCAGTTTTTCTCTGACACCTACACCATCATGGTATCTGTTATCCTGTTGAGTCATCATTTAAAGCAGATTTTTTCTTGATTCAGTCTGCCAGAAATATTCAATCCTTCTCAAGCTCTCCCAGTTGTTTACATTTCCTTATCTCTGTACTGTCCTGTCCATTGTTGTGTTGGTCCAGTCTGTACTGTTCTGTCCATTGTTGTGTTGGTCCAGTCTGTACTGTCCTGTCCATTGTTGTGTTGGTCCAGTCTGTACTGTCCTGTCCATTGTTGTGTTGGTCCAGTCTGTACTGTCCTGTCCATTGTTGTGTTGGTCCAGTCTGTACTGTCCTGTCCATTGTTGTGTTGGTCCAGTCTGTACTGTCCTGTCCATTGTTGTGTTGGTCCAGTCTGTACTGTCCTGTCCATTGTTGTGTTGGTCCAGTCTGTACTGTTCTATCCATTGTTGTGTTGGTCCATCCGAAGTATTTGTGGACATTCCAATTCATTGTTGGATCATCTTGTCAGCATTTATTTTAAACTCTGGTTTTGTTGTTGTTGTTGTTGTTGCTGTTGTTGTAGTTGTTGTTGCTCATCTGGTGTTCCTAGAATATCTGCATGTGTAGTATTTGGCCCTCAAGACCTCATCTCTTTGTACACACATCCAAGGAACCCTGACATCAACACTGTGTCTGTACACATATCCAAGGAACCCTGACATCAACACTGTGTCTGTACACACATCCAAGGAACCCTGACATCAACACTGTGTCTGTACACACAGCCAAGGAACCCTGACATCAACACTGTGTCTGTACACACAGCCAAGGAACCCTGACATCAACACTGTGTCTGTACACACAGCCAAGGAACCCTGACATCAACACTGTGTCTGTACACACAGCCAAGGAACCCTGACATCAACACTGTGTCTGTACACACAGCCAAGGAACCCTGACATCAACACTGTGTCTGTACACATATCCAAGGAACCCTGACATCAACACTGTGTCTGTACACACATCCAAGGAACCCTGACATCCTGCACCCGATGGCTTATTAGCAGTTTTGATCTCTGTCTTGAGATCCCTCTGAGTGGTGTAGAATGTCAGCCAGATTGCCTGGTCACTTCCCCATTCCCTTGTCTCCTTACCGTAATAATGCATCAGTACCAGCCAGTCTGTCTGCCTGGTCACTTCCCCATTCCCTTGTCCCCTTACTGTAATAATGCATCAGTACCAGCCAGTCTGTCTGCCTGGTCAATTCCAAACATTTCCTTCCTTCTAAAAAATATGTACAGGACGCTAACTACCGTGGACCTCTTAAATTATGCTTTCTCCAACTAACTCATCATGCTTTGTGAGAATCTGCTGTGTCTGCTTTCTTTCTCTAATTAGATGTGATATCATATCCTGCGTTAACTCTTTGATTTGGTGAGCAGCGGCTGTCCATAATCCATCACTTAGATGATCAAGTGCTAGTACACTGTGAGCAGCGGCTGTCCATAATCCATCACTTAGATGATGAAGTGCTAGTACACTGTGAGCAGCGGCTGTCCATAATCCATCACTTAGATGATGAAGTGCTAGTACACTGTGAACAGCGGCTGTCCATAATCCATCACTTAGATGATCAAGTGCTAGTACACTGTGAGCAGCGGCTGTCTATAATCCATCACTTAGATGATCAAGTGCTAGTACACTGTGAGCAGCTGCTGTCCATAATTCATCACTTAGATGATCAAGTGCTAGTACACTGTGAGCAGCTGCTGTCCATAATCCATCACTTAGATGATCAAGTGCTAGTACACTGTGAACAGCTGCTGTCCATAATTCATCACTTAGATGATCAAGTGCTAGTACACTGTGAGCAGCTGCTGTCCATAATTCATCACTTAGATGATCAAGTGCTAGTACACTGTGAACAGCTGCTGTCCATAATTCATCACTTAGATGATCAAGTGCTAGTACACTGTGAGCAGCTGCTGTCCATAATTCATCACTTAGATGATCACGTGCTAGTACACTGTGAACAGCTGCTGTCCATAATCCATCACTTAGATGATCAAGTGCTAGTACACTGTGAGCAGCTGCTGTCCATAATTCATCACTTAGATGATCAAGTGCTAGTACACTGTGAACAGCTGCTGTCCATAATTCATCACTTAGATGATCAAGTGCTAGTACACTGTGAGCAGCTGCTGTCCATAATTCATCACTTAGATGATCAAGTGCTAGTACACTGTGAGCAGCTGCTGTCCATAATTCATCACTTAGATGATCAAGTGCTAGTACACTGTGAACAGCTGCTGTCCATAATTCATCACTTAGATGATCAAGTGCTAGTACACTGTGAACAGCGGCTGTCCATAATCCATCACTTAGATGATCAAGTGCTAGTACACTGTGAACAGCTGCTGTCCATAATCCATCACTTAGATGATCAAGTGCTAGTACACTGTGAACAGCTGCTGTCCATAATTCATCACTTAGATGATCAAGTGCTAGTTCACTGTGAACAGCGGCTGTCCATAATCCATCACTTAGATGATCAAGTGCTAGTACACTGTGAACAGCGGCTGTCCATAATCCATCACTTAGATGATGAAGTGCTAGTACACTGTGAACAGCGGCTGTCCATAATTCATCACTTAGATGATCAAGTGCTAGTTCACTGTGAACAGCGGCTGTCCATAATCCATCACTTAGATGATCAAGTGCTAGTACACTGTGAACAGCTGCTGTCCATAATCCATCACTTAGATGATCAAGTGCTAGTACACTGTGAGCAGCGGCTGTCCATAATCCATCACTTAGATGATCAAGTGCTAGTACACTGTGAACAGCTGCTGTCCATAATTCATCACTTAGATGATCAAGTGCTAGTACACTGTGAACAGCGGCTGTCCATAATCCATCACTTAGATGATCAAGTGCTAGTACACTGTGAGCAGCGGCTGTCCATAATCCATCACTTAGATGATCAAGTGCTAGTACACTGTGAGCAGCGGCTGTCCATAATCCATCA